CCTCAAATCCATTAGGTTTTTTTTTAAATCATGTTATTATTTTGTTTAATAGTCAATATAAAGTACTTGAGATCTCTTTCACAAAAGAATTTATTCTAATAATGCTTGTTGGATTTAATTGTAGAGTAACTTATGTATATCACTTGGTATAGTCCTCCAAAGCATAACTGACATTTGTTAAACACTAATAACTTACTTTTTTTCCTTTAAGACTTCTCTCTAATTTTCATGGTACATTTGAGAATACTATGGGTTGAGTAGTTTAGTATTATTATCATTGTTATTTTTATTGTTATTAAAGAAGTCCCATAGGAAATTACTCTCATCAGCATTGTGGCATATTAGATTAGTGTACTAATTGACTTACCCCATAGAAATGCTTCATCATCAATGCCTTTTATGGGCACGGATACCTTTCCAGAATAGAAAGCTGGAAAACAAAATTCTCAAGCTGACTTTTACTTTTTCCTACATGATTACATTACTTCAAATATATAGTAGTTTAGAAATAAGGAATGAGATTTGGATGGTATTTGGTATATGGTAGTTAGGATTAACTGGTTTTCAGTTTGGGTTCTGTTTTTACTAGCAAAGTCTAGAAAGACCCTTTGAGAATTACTTTATGTATTTTTTTAGTTATTGTATATTTATAAAATGAGAAAATGAAATTATGTGAAGATTCTTAATAAGTTGTAATTGGTCTTGTTATCCAGATTGCCTTTTAAATTATTAAATATAATCTGCCTTTATTGAATATTTAGGGCAATTGATATATTTAGAAAGATAATTCTAGTTGTCTAAGTAAAATCTTTTACAGTGAATACCAGTTTGAATAATAAGATCTTAAGAAGGTGAAAAAATAAGTGTTTTAGTCCAAAGCAGTTCTCAAAAATTAAGTCTTACAGACTGGTGCCTGTGCTTATGCCTGTAATTCTAGCTATTCTAGCTGAGATCTGAGAATTGCAGTTTGAAGTCAATCTGGGCAACAAAGTCTGTGAGACTCCTACCTCTAATTATCCACCAAAACGTCAAAGTGGTGCTGTGGCTCAGGTGGTACATTACTATCCTTGAGCAATAAAGGTCAGGGACAGCATCCAAGATCTGAATTCAAGCCCCAAGGCTGGCATACACACAAAAAAATAAAGAAAAAGCAAGAAAAAAAATTAGACTGTTAAGTTATGCATTATTCTATTCTTGAGAACTTAGGTAGCATATTCATTTATATAATACTTGGAAATGCAAATTATTTATAAAAATAAGTAAAGGCCATAAAATCTTAATTACTGGCTACTATTTGCATTATCATCATTTGCTTATTTTATTATTGTCTCTAATATTAAAGTCATTGGGAGATCAGGACTTAAATTTGTTATAATTTTTTTAATACTTCAGTCCTAATAAATGAAAGTGTATAAAGAAAAAATGCACAGGGTTTCCATTTTAAGACAGATGAACATTGTATTTCTATTGAAAATTAACAGAACAAAATATTGAAAATAGCCCCATGTTTAGTGAAATCTGGAGGTATCTCTAACCCTTGAGCTAAAGATAGAAGAATTATGATTTAGGAAGACTTTCAAACCTGACTGAGTACTGTCAGAATCCTAACAAATATGTTATTACCAGCATACCCCAAAAGCCATAGGAACTTATCAGATATACTAGTACCACAAAATATGAGTGAGGCAGGGACCAGAGTAGATTTCTTTAAAAATCTTTGTAAGAAATAAGAATTCTTTTGTTTCTGCTTCACAGGCAGCAGTAAATACATGTCTGGTTGAATCAGAGAGTTTCTAGAGACAAAATTGGACAGACGTAAAATGCTGAAGATAGAAACTAAGTGAAACTTGTCATACTAAGGAGTAGTTTAGATTTCCTTCTCTGTATGATTCCAGATTTTTGTTTTTCACTCGTAGATGTCCTAGGTAAAAATTAAAGAATCCTTCCTGGGAAAATTGAATCACTCTAGTACCTATTTAACAGGTACTAATATTTGAAGACCTCAACAAAAAAGTGGGCTAGTTACAACACTGAAATCCACCAGTTTGGCAAGCCCAACTACACAAACAGAGCAGTATTGTCAGCTATAATAGGAGAGATTCCAATGCAAAAGAGATACAAAATAGAAACTTAAAGAGAACAGACAATTCAGGAGCACAAACATTTGAAGGAAATAATAATTAACCACCAAATATCTAGATAGACATTTGCGTAGGGAAACAAAATAGGATGCTTTTGTGGAGGAGGGGGAGAAGAGTTAGTGAGAAAGTTTTGGAACTGCAATGTACAATAGAAATAAATTCTATAAACAAACACTATACTCAAAGAAGTCTCCCTGGATATAGAACAAAAGACAAAAATAGAAAAGAAAATTAGAGGTTAATGTGAGGTTCAATATTTAACCTAACAAGAGTTCCAGAAAAAGATATCGGGAAATCAAGAACCTTTTATTATATTAAGGAAATAATACATGTAAATTTTCTAGACTTAAAGATACCACTAAATTGAACAGATCCAAGTGCCCAGTGCAGATTGTAGGAGTATCATTTTGAAATTTTGGAACCTACCAGAAAGGGGAATATAAGATTGAAACAAGGCAGAAAAGAAAATATGTGAATCATAAATGTTATTGAGACTTGGAGATATAGTCCAGTGGTAAAGCACTTGCTTACTGTGTAAGGCCCCATATTCCATCACTGACACTGTAGTAAAACTTTCTAAACAGTGCCATGGAACTTCAAAGCCACATGTAAGAATTTAAAGGACATTGAAGTTTTTTGGTAGAGCACTTGCCTGGCCTGCACAAAGCCCTGTTTAGATCCCCAGCAACACTCTCTCCCTCTCCCTCTCCCTCTCCCTCTCCCTCTCCCTCTCCCTCTCTCTCTCTCTCCCTCTCCCTCTCTCTCTCTCTCTCTCTCTCTCTCTCTCTCTCTCTCCCTCTCTCTCTCTCTCTCTCCCTCTCTCTCTCTCTCTCTCTCTCTCTCTCTCTCTCTCTCTCTCTCTCTATCTCTCTCTATCTCTCTCCCTCCCTCCCTCCCTCCCTCCCTCCCTCCAGATAGGGTAGCAAATAAGATGCTGAAGAAAAATACATTGGTTTGTCAAACATATCAGAAAGAACACTATGTACTCTTCTGCCTTCAGAGTTTATCAGTATCAACTCTTCCCTATATGCAGACTTTACATTTTTAAGTGAATTCCATCTATACTTCAAACACTAAATGTTTCAGTTTTGTTGTTTTGGCAGTACTAAACTCAGAACTTGGTGCCTTGTGCATGCTTGATAGGCACTATATAACTTGAGTGATGCTCCAAACCCTTTTTGCTTCAGTTATTTTAGAGATAGGGTCTCTTATTTAAGTTGGCCTGTTCTTCCTGTTTATATTTACAGTGCACCTGGGATGGCAAACATGCACTATGTTTTTATTGGTTCCCTCACATCACCTTACCTCAAAACTGCCAATCATCTTAATCTCTGCCTCCCAAGTAGATAGGATTACAAAGCTTCAGTTTTACCTGTAATGTATTTTAAATAAAATACACCATATCCAATACAGTTAACATGAATTTACCTATATGACCAAATACTTATTTGCTGTTTTTTCCCTAGTTTTCTCCATTTTAAAGTCAGAGTATTTATTTGTTTGTATGTTTATTTATTTCCAGTCCCAGGGCCTCAATACTTGCTCAGCTTGCCTGCTCAACTAGCAGTCTACTACTTGAGCCATGCTTCTAGCTCTAACAGAAAGCTTTCTGTGGGCTTGTTCTTTTCAGAATCTATTGCATTTGGTGAATAGTGTCTTGATTTTTCACTAAAAAGAGACAATTGTGTTTTCTCTTTTTCATAGGCTTTTCATCACTGAATTCTAATTTCCATACCCATTGCTTTGAAAAATTCAAGTTAACTTTAAAACCAGTTATGCTTGGTGAATTTTTCAGGAAATTTATTTTATAATTTGTCATCAGTAGTTTAAATGTAACTTCTGCAAATTAGTTATTCTTTTTTTGTCATGTTATTTAGACATATTAGTTAACCCAGGTGGCTTAATCACAGCTAAGTTAACCATTCTTACATACAAAGAGTAAAATATTCCTGGTTATTGAAATGGTAAGACAGGATGGAGAATAAGACACCACCAAACTTACTGAAAAATAGTACAAAATTAAAGCAAGATGGTTTTTGAGCACTAAAATAATTTGCACACAAACCATAAACCTCAGCTCTTTGCAAATAACGTTAGTATTGATAAATTGAAGAATTGTAGGTAACTAGAAAGGAGAAGTGATAGTGACAGGTTTACTGTTGCCAAGATTGATAACTCAATAGGAGATGGATGGCTATTAAATCCCAACACAGGTATTGAGGAAGAATATAGTATAGTGACTAATAATCAACTCCTGTGCCATGTGGAGATAAAGAATCCAAAACAACTCTTTAGCCCTTTTGAGAAGTATGTGTGGCAACTCAGGTATGTTGGCATTGATACAGTCACTCTAGCCAGCTATGTATTTAACTATGGACTTTAAATTTTTAGCTATCTTGTTATTTGTTACCAAGTAAGTTTATTTAAAACATCTAAATTATAGCCTTTAATCTGACTTCAATTATTATACATACCCAAAGAAGAGAAATCAACGATGAGGCATGGAGTAAGGTAAGATGAGGTAACAGTTTGGATCACACACTATATGGAATGATACTGTCTTGCCATGGTTTCCCAGAGCTCCTAGTCATTTTAAACAAAATATCTGTTGATTGTCTTCAGAGTTAATTTTAAGTGTTATTTTGTAGCCTCCACTAATTGTCATCCTCTCAGCATGAGTTACAGTCATTATATGCAGGAGATTAATTTGTGTCTTCTGTAATAGAATTTAAGTCTCTTTTTTCATTTGAGAATAAAGGTCTCTTACTCAATTTTGTAAGTCATGTTGAATTGGGTGCATATTAGCTTCAGGGGGCAAATGTAGCGTTTTTCTCTGTTAACTATGTGCTGTTTTTCTAGGGGAAGTCCACAAATGAAGGGGATGCCTCACTTTAAGGAAGAACAGTGTGCTCCAGCATTAAATTTAGAGATGAGCAAAATATTGGATTTACAAGCGCCCATCATGAGGTACAGTGCCTTGGCTAAACTTGACATTTTCTGATGGCAAAAGACAAGTAATTTGGTAATCACATGACCAACAGGAAAAATGTTGCTTTTTTATTTAAAAATAACTTTGTAGTGCTAAAAATGCTTGATTAATCTTTAGAAAACATTTTTCTGCATAAATTGTTATAGTAGGTTAATGAGTTGGCTGTGTCAAATACAATTTTATTTTGAAATGAATGTTAATTAAGGTCTAGAGTTGTTTAAATGATAAAACAATCAGAGTTCCTCAAAAAACAGTTAAAAATCATGTAAGTTGAAGAAAAGAGCAAGTATCTTTGTTTCCAAAGCTGTGTTAGGTTTCTGGGAAGCACAAGTACACTTGAAAGAAAGTCAAACTTTCTGATCAAAGCATGAATAAAGATTTTGTGACAAGACAGCCCAAAACACCAGAGTACCAAAACTCTGTTTTATATCCAAAGACAGTAAAGAAGTGATCTTATAATTCAGCTTTATTTTCCTAATTACTTTGTAGTTGTACATTTTAGTTGTCACTTAATGTAGCAGTATATATATTTATTTTTATTTTTTGTGAACGTACTGTACAGAGGGGTTACAATTACATGGGCAAGATAATGAGTACATTTCTTACCAAGCATTGCAGCCTCCTCCTTTGTTTACCCTTCACATCCCTTCCCATCCTCCCCCCCCCTCCCCCCACCAAAGTTGTAAAGTTCGTTTTCGACATGACAACTTGTACTTCTCATTGTTGCAACGGGTCCACCTGTATCCTTAAACAACTTGTTTTTCCCCATCTCCTCCACAAATTATACCGACATCAAATATAGTGAAAGCAGGGGTTATACTGTGGGGGAGGGACATACAAAGCAACAAAGAGATAATCTTATAAATGCATTAGAAACAAATGTATGAAAGAAAAAAAATATTTAAATGCATATCTAAGGGTTCATTTTCCTAACATCACATTATCTGACCTTTTCTGCTTGACTCATACATATATTAGATATTGCAAATAAGGGAAACCATGGGACCTATGTTTCTTTGGGCCTGGCTTACTTCACTTAATATAATTTTTTCCAAGCCTTTCCATTTCCTAACAAATGGGGCAATGTCATTCTTTCTGATGGAGGCATAGAATTCCATTGTGTATATATGCCACATTTTCTTGATCCATTCACCTACTGAGGGGCATCTGGGTTGGTTCCATATCTTAGCTATGGTAAATAATGCTGCATTGTGCTGGTAGCTTTAGTGTGGTCTTGTTTGTAAACATTTGGGTAAATGCCCAAAAGTGGGATTGCTGGGTCATAGGGGAGCTCTATGTGAAGTCTTTTGAGGAACCTCCATACTACTTTCCGAAGTGTTTGAACAAGTTTACACTCCCACCAACAATGAAGTAAGGTTCCCTTCTGTCCACATCCCCTCCAGCATCTGGTGTTGTTAGAGTTCTTGATTTTTGCCATTCTAACTGGGGTGAGGTGGTATCTCAATGTTGTTTTGATTTGCATTTCTTTTATGGCTAGAGAGGTTGAGCATTTCTTCATGTGTCTATTGGCCATCCTTCTTTCTTCTTCAGAGAAGTTTCTCTTTAGGTCTTTAGCCCACTTATTTATTGGGCAGTTGTTTTTTGAGGATTTGTTGTTGGGGGATTTAAATTTTGGAGTTCCAAGTATATTTAAGATATGAGACCCTTGTCCGTTGTATGGCTAGTGAAGATCTTCTCCCAATCTGTGGGCTTTCCATTGATCTTGCTAGCTATGTCCTTTGCTATGCAGAAGCTCTGCAACTTCATGCAATCCCATTTGTCCAACCTTTCTTTGATTTGTTGTGTTTCTCGGTCTCTATTAAGAAAATTTCGGCCTAAGCCAAGGAGACCTAGGGTTTGTCCTATTCCATCCTGTAATGCTTTCAGAGTGTCTGCTTTGACTCTGAGGTCTTTGATCCATTTGGAGTTGATTCTGGTGCGGGGTCATATATAAGGATCTAGCTTTAGTTTTCTACAAGTAGTTAACCAATTTTGCCAGCACCATTTACTGAAGAGGCTGTCTTTCTTCCATTCTAGCAGTATATTTTTTCCATTGTGTAAATGTAAGAACTTAATTTACAGTTGTAAAAAGAATGAGGATATTTTTTTCTGAAAAAGACTTTCCAAATATTTTGTTGGATGAAAAAGCCAAGGTGTATATTTATTTATTTTTATTTTTACTTTTTTGGTTGTGGGGTCTGAACTCTGGTCCTGGGCACTATCCATCAGCTCTTGAGCTCAAGATTAGCACTCCACCATTTGAGCCACAACACCACTTCTGGCTTTTTCTGCATTTGTGGTGCTGTGGAATCAAACCCAGGGCCTCATGCATGCAAGGCAAGCACTCTACCACTGTGTAGCCACCTTCCCAGCCCCAGTGCTGTTTATTTTATTTATTTATTTATTTTTGGTCGATCGTGGGGCTTGAACTCTGGGCTTGGGCGCAGTTCCCACGCTCTTCAGCTCAAGGCGAGCACTCTACTGCTTGAGCCACAGCGCCACTTCCAGTTTTCTAGTCGTTTATTGGAGATAAGAGTCACATGGATTTTCCTGCCTGGGCTGGCTTTGAACTGTGATCCTCAGATCTCAGCCTCCTGAGTAGCTAGGATTACAGGCACGAGCCACCGGTTCCCGGCTTTGCTGTTTATTTTTAAGAGGAGAGAATTATTAGAATGTTTCAGGTTTTTTTTTAGAAGAATATGTAAATGAGAGATGAGAACTGAGTCTATTGGAGACAGGCTTTGGAAAGGGACTCTACTTTTTAAAAACATTGAGCTATCTGCCTATAAGATGAATATACTGAATTAGCTAAATATAGTAATTGTTTTTTTAAAAGGTCGTTGTGATCTAGTAAATGCTGCTTTCACCATTTATCTTGTTAGAATATTACACAAAACGACACTGGAACAACACTGAATAAAATTGTATGCAGGTGGTGAGCTAGTGGCTGACTCGCTTAGTCCTTTTTATACCTGATTCCCCACATGGAAATGAATGACTTTGTTATTTCTTTAAATGAGATAGGTGTTACAAAAGATTGTGCTTATGATATTTATCACTTTAAAGGATCTCATTACTCTAGATTTTTCTTATTCAGTGTGGAAATCTTTTCAAAAATATGACTTAATGCCAAAGTAATTTTGAATGTTTCTAGGTAACCACCAAGGTGAAACTTAGAAAATTGGCTCTTTGCCTCCATCTTGTGGTAAATGTAATTATGGCATATGGACATAGGATAGAAAATGAGCTTTTAGAAAAAGAATTTCCAAGGCTATTTCTCTAGCTCAATAAGTAGAGCCTGTGTTTGTGCTCCAAGCCCTTGGTTCAGTCTTGAGCAACACCTAAGGGGTGGGGGGGGAGGAATTTTTGCCACAAGTTTAACATATTAAGTAGAACGTTCTACAAATATAAGTGGTTAGAAATCTTAAGATTTCTTTTAAAATCCTGATAAAATAATGTCACTTCAGAGTGATGTTATTAGTAACTATAATACATACTTGCTGGAAATTCATTTGAAATTTTCTAAAGTTAGAAATAATGAAGCTGAGTGTCAGTAGCTCACACCTGTAATCCTAGCTGAGCCTAATCAGGAGATCTGAAGACTATGGTTTGAAGCTAACCTAGGCAGGAAAGTTGTGAGACTCTTATATTCAATTAAGTACCCAAAAAGCTGAAAGTGGGACTGTAGTTCAAGTATTAGAGTGCTAGCTTTGAGCAAAATGAGCTCAGGGACTGGGACAGCACATGAGTTCACGTCCCAGGACAGGTACACATACACACACAGGAAGAAAGAAAGGAAAGGAAAGAAAGAAAGAAAAAATAGTTACATTGTTGGAACAAAATGGCTTAAAAAAAAACTTACTTAAGTTGGGTGCCAGTGGCTCACACCAGTTGTAATCCTAGCTACTCATCACTGTTCAAAGCCAGCCCAGGCAGGAAAGTTGGTGAGACTCTTACCTCCAAAAAACCAGAAAAACCAGAAATGGCACTGTGGCTCTAGTGGTAGAGTGCTCCCCTTGAGCTGAAGAGTTCAGGGACAGCGCCCAGGTCCAAAGTTCAAGCCCCCCAACTGACCCCCCCCCAAAAACCCCAAAAGACCCAAAACTTACTTTAAAATACTGGAGACTTAACTCAGGGGTCTCAAGTTGGAGCCATATCGCCATCCTTCTGCTTTTAGTTGAGATAGGGTTTCACTAATTTTGTTCAGGCTGATTGCAAACTGTGATCCTCCTGACTACCAACTAGATACATTTTAATTTTGATTAAGGATTAATGTTAAATATCTAACTTTAGTTATTAATTGAAGATAGATAATATTTAGGAAGTAAAAATTTATAATGCCATATCTTCCTCTGTTTTGGGCATTTTAGAGCACCTTGTAGTATATAGAGTTCAATATTGGTTAAATATTAAATATAATTGCATTTTGAAATGATTTGATAAAAGCATATTTGATTAATTATAAATATTATTCTTCTTTGAAGTATAAATGAAAACATAAATATTGTATTTCTTTCTCACCATGTTAAATTCTTTAAAATTCCACTAAGATCCTAAATTTAAAATGCACACACAGATTTGGGACACTAAATAGCTGTTAAAAATCTCATAAAGTCAATGATTGAAGAGCCTCTCTAAGGATGAAATTTAGATTACATATACTGTATTTTGTATGCACGCACTACCAAGGATGATATTCACAATATTTAAGAACTAGTATAGCATTAAAAGACAAGGGTTTTTAATCTTGATATGCAAACCAAGAATTAATCTGTTAAATAAAATCTGTAAATTAATCTGTAATTAATCTGTAAATAAAATACCTTTTCACATAGATGATTTTGTTGTTGTTAGCAGTACTGGTCTTTGAAGTGACAACTTTCTACTTGCTAGGCATATGCTCATGGCTCTCTTGAGCCATGCCTCCAGCCCTTTTTTGCACTGGTTCTTTTTGAGATAGGGGTCTTTTTCTCCTGGCCTGCTCTGAACCATCATGCTCCTATTTATGTTTCCTACTATAGCTGAGATGACAGATACATACTAACTACCACACCAATTATTTTTCTGTTGAGATGGAGAGGTTTTTTTTTTTTTGTCTATCTGGTTTGAACTTGATCCTTCCACAAAGGTGGGATGCACCTGTACTATACTCCAGCCATTGATTGGAAACTTTTTGCGTGGAATGGCCTCAAACCTTGATCTCAGCCTCTCAGATCTGTCTCCTGAGTAGCTAGGATTATAGGCTTGAGCCACTGGCACCTGACTGAGATAGCTTCTTTATCATGCTTATCACAATTATTTAAAGTCATTGTCTACTAATTGCAACACTAAGATTATCTTTTAATGGGTTGCTTATATTGATAAATTTTGTTTTCATTTGATTCTGGGTTACATTTTCCTATTTACTTGTGCATTAGGTTGGGTTTTTTGTTGTTGTTGCAGCATTGTTATAACATTGTATAGTTTGTAATAGTGTATAATTACTATATATGGCAAAGAGCTACTTTTATCAGATAGTATGGGTATAGACAATATATTCTTTTTTTTTTTTTTTTTTTGTCCATCATGGGGCCTGAACCCTGGGCCTGGGCGCTGTCCCTCAGCTCTTCAGCTCAGGGCTAGCATTCTACCACTTGAGCCACAGTGCCACTTTGATTTTCTGAGTGGTTTATTGGAGATAAGGGTCTCATGGACTTTCCTGCTGGTGCTGGCTTTGATCCAGGATCCTCAGATCTCAGCCTCCTGAGTTGCTAGGATTACAGGCGTGAGCCACTAGTGCCCGGCTTAGACCATATGTTCTTTAGTTTTTCTGTTTTCCTTTTGAAGTTATCTAGCACTTATTCTGCTGCTTCTGTTTTTGAGACTAGGTCTCACTGTGTTGACTAGGTTGATCTCAAACTCCTGAGCTCCAGTGATCCTCTTAGCATGAGTGCTAGGATTGCAAGCATGTGCTACCATACTTAGATCTCATGTTTCTGTTTAATTTACTTTTTCAGTTTTTCTAGTTTTTAACCTGTTTCATCACATTTTTTTTTAATTTTATTTTTTTTGGGCGGTCCGGTTGTGGGGCCTGAACTCTGGTCCTGGGTGCTGTCCCTCAGCTCTTCAGCTCAAGGCTAGCACTCTCCCACTTGAGTCACAGCGCCACTTCTGGCTTTTTTTGTTTTGCTTATGTGGGGCTGAGGAATCGAGCCCAGGGCCTCATGCATGCAAGGCAAGTGCTCTACCACTGAGCCACCTTCCCAACCCGCTGTTTCATCAAATTTGTAACTCTGTCTGCCTATATAGTCTTCTCTCAGAATGTGTGATTCACCTTCTCTCAGAAGGTGAATTATACATAGCTACTTAAATAGCTAACAGTTAAATTGCTGATAAGTGAAAACATTTTTGATTTTGTGATCTTTGCATGTGCCTTTCAAAAAAACAGTTTTATCTATTTCTTTTGCATGAGCATTTTCTAAAGCAATCATATTCAAACTTACTGCTGTCTTAAAATTTAATTGATTAAAGTTGCTTGCTTCCCTACAGTTTGCAGTCTGTACTGGAAGATCTCCTGGTTGCTACTTCTGATGGATTTCTTCATCTTATTCACTGGGAAGGAATGACAAATGGAAGGAAAGCTATTAATCTTTGCACAGTACCCTTTTCAGTTGATCTACAGTCATCTAGAGGTAGTTATACTTTCTGCATGAGATAGACCCCTTTAAAATTTGACATAATCTAGTACTAACAAACTTTATAAACAGAAATGTGGGATAATATTATAGTTAAAATTCCATTTTGTGTCTATTTGTTTTGTCATCAGTAGGTTCATTCCTTGGCTTTACAGATGTGCACATCAGAGATATGGAATACTGTGCCACACTTGATGGGTTTGCTGTTGTGTTTAATGATGGTAAAGTTGGATTTATTACACCAGTATCAAGTAGATTTACTGCAGAGGTAAGGCTTATTTACTTCATTTATTTTCCTTATTTTTCATTTATTTTACTATGTAAAATTAAGCCCATTCCCAGTTTCTTTATTCATATAAGATTTTGGGGTTCTTACTAATTTTTAATGAAATGAATTTTTAATTGTAGTACTGACTCTATGGAAAATGGCTATTGACTTTCTTTTTTTCTAATCTCAATGCCCTTGTATCCTTCCCAGCTTATTCAACAAAACACTTTTTTTTTGGTCTTTTTGACAAAGATTTAACACAAGGCCTGTGCTTACTAGGCAAATATTCTACATTTAAATCACTCCTCAAGTTGTTTTGCTTTAACCACGCTTTTCAAGTAGACTTTTGATGTGTTTACCTAGGCTGGCTTTAGACTGCGACCTCCTACCTTTATCCCTCGAGTACCTGGATTACAAATGTAATTGTAATGCCCTGCAAATTATTATTGTAAGTTAGTACTTGTTATATTTTTGTCAGTATGAGAACCGTGTTAGTACTTGTCCCATGAGTATCTTTTGATTATTTGTTTCTTTTCTATAGATTTTCCTTCCTACGTACTAGGAATTAATAATGATTTTATTCTCTAAAGTTGCTTAGTTTTTGTGTACTTAGCACTTAACCCAAAACCACCTGTCAGTTGTGCAGATATTCTCTCAATTCTTTTAACTACTTTAGTGTTCTACCTGTTTCATCTTGAAATTTTTCTAAAAGCCCTCTGATCTGTTACAAAGTAGACTGGAAGCTTAACATATATAAATCTTTAACATGGCTATGTTATCTACTTTATCATCATCCTGAGGATTCTCTTTACTCTTTTATTTGTATAGAATCTTTTGATACCTAATGATTACTAATATATGGTAGTTAAAAATATGTTTTGCTGCTGTGACAGAGATATTTATTCTTTACTGTGATGAGTGACAGGAGTTATTATTCTCTCAATGAACTCTACTCCCTTTCTTTTCTTTCCTTCTCTACTTCTTACTTAGTCCACTCCTCTTCTGTCTTGTCTGTCACTTGTCTCCAGTGTTCCCTGCAAAAGCATCTTGCGAAGGGTACTGGCTACCCCATTATCTGGGGTTTCAATTATGGAAAAGTTAGGGTCGGAGTCCAAATTCAAAGTGTGAACTTTGTCTTTTCTTGGATTTTCCAAGTTTTTCTGAGAGGAAAATGTTCAGTTCTCTGTTAGAATGCAGGTGAGACTTTTTCATAGTTGTTCACCATTGGGAATGTGTTCTGAGAGGACCCAACTACTTTTTTACATAGGCTTTGAACTACTACTTTTAGTCCAGACTTCTAGACATAACTGCAATTCCTAGTGCTTTTCTGTATCTGCAATGAAACTTAGCTATTTCTCAACCTTCTTTACTGCCAGTTAAGAATTTATGCTATATGCTTACCAATTTCCAAAACTGTCTAATGCTTTGCCCTTTCCCCTTCTTTGTCAGGTAATACTTTTAAAAAATAAAATCTTTTCTGCTAAAAGAAAAGTTGGAGCTTTAGAAATCTGAGAAATTGAAATATTCATATTTAGTGTGCTCCTTCAAGTTTTAAATACCTTTCAAGTTTTAGGAACTTTTTTGTCACTTTGCTTGGTATTTTCTTTAATATCCCTAAGAAATCTTTTCTATAATGTATTTTGTTCAAATACTAGGCCCTGAATAATATAGATGAAATAACTATCAGCATATATAAAACAATAAAAACAAACTTTGAAAAATTATCTTTTGCATAAAATTTACATGTTTATAACAAATGTTTATACTGAAAACAAATATTTGGACCGAAAAAGTGATTAACACTTTTGTAATTATTTTATAGACTTAGTACAGAAGTATTCTCAGCATTTATTAGTATGTGATTAAAGAAATTTTTAGTAAATTAGGAATTTAAAAAGTATAAAAAGTAGATTGACATTATTGTTACTAGTACAAAGTATAAATTATAAGAAGAAACAGAGACATAAGTTAAAATACATAGGCTTTGCAACTCACCTGTTCAGATAATTAATTTGGGCGCCAGTGGCTCACGCCTGTAATCCTAGCTCTCAGGAAGCTGAGATCTGAGGATCATGGTTCAAACCTAGCCCGGGCAAGAAGGTCTGTGAAACTCTTATCTTCAATTAACCATCAGAAAACCGGAAGTGGCACTGTGGCTCAAGTGGTAGAGCATTCACCTTGAGCTGAAGAGCTCAGGGACATCGCCTAGGCCCAGAGTTCAAGCCTATGATGGACAAAAACAAACAAAAACCCCAAAACAACTAGATAATTAAGGGAAAGGCTGAGAACCATAAAGCTGGAGAGAAAACTTTAAAAAAAGATGTTGGTAGGTGGTTTTATAATTATAAGCTCATTTAGATTCAAGCTGTATGACAGACAAAAAAAGTTCATATCATTAATAAGTTATCTTCATTCAGTGTAAGCTTAGAGAGCTAATACATGTTTTTTAGTGTTTTATAAGTGGATTAGCATAGGATGGGCTTATTTGGTAATATGTATCACCCTGACTTACAGAGAACTTGACATTTTAAAGTAGAATACTTTGATGATAGTCCTGATGGTAGTCTCTGCAGACAAAAGCAAATGAAAACTCATGAAATTGTTTCTTTATTGCAAGAGAGTTAGTTTAGGATAATAGTTTTTAAACTTTAATTGCTTTTCTTTATTCTAGCAGCTTCATGGAGTTTGGCCACAAGATGTTGTTGATGGAACGTGTGTAGCAATAAATAACAAGTATCGATTAATGGCATTTGGATGTGCAAGGTAACTGATGTAGACGTATATGTTTTTGTTTTTATTTTTAATTTACCTTTTTTGGGCCGGGCGCTGGTGGCTCACGCCTGTAATCCTAGTTACTCAGGAGGCTGAGATCTGAGGATCGCAGTTCAAAGCCAGCCTGGGCAGGAGAGACCGTGAGACTCCTATCTCCAATAAACCACCAGAAAACCGGAAGTGGCGCTGTAGCTCAAGTGGTAGAGCGTTCGCCTTGAGCTGAAGAGCTGAGGGACAGCGCCCAGGCCCAGAGTTCAAGCCCCACGACCGACAAAAAAAAGATTATAATTTACCTTTTTTGGGGTACAAGTCCTGGGGCTTGAACTCAGGGCCTGGGCTCTGTCTCTAAGCTTTTTGCTCAAGGCTGGTGCTCTACCACTTGAGCCATAGCTGCACTTCTGGCTTTTCATAGCTCCACTTCTGGCTTTTTGGTGCTGAATTGGAGACAGGAGTCTTATGGATTTTCTTGCGCAGGTTGGCTGCGGTTCTCAAATCTCAGCTTCCTGAATAGTTCGGATTAGAGGCATAAGCCACCAGCGCCTGACCTGAATTTGTAATAGTTATTGCCAAAAGTACTTTTTTTAAAACTTGAAATACTTAAATATACTTGTAAGCTTTATAATAATTTATAATTTGTAAACACTGTCACAATTTATGAAACCCCATAATATAATTGTGAAGGTATTTGATTAAATTGTAACAAAGTTAAAGGGCAGATTTTTAGAGGTAAACAGTTCACTTTGCAAAAGTTGGCTTTTCTCCAGCTTGTACAAAATTTAGTTACAAATTAAAAAGAATAAGTCAGTTAAAATTTAATCTTTCTTTATTGTTAAGAAGATTTGGCCAACCACCATTGGCTTGCTCCTGTAATCCTAGCTATTCAGAGGCTGAGATATAACGATTGCATTCAAAGCCAGTCTGAGCAGGATAGTGTGTGTGACTATCTCCAATTAATAACCAAAAAGCCAAAACTGAAACTGTATCTCAAATGGTGGAAAGCTAGCCTTAAGTGAAAAAGCTAAGGAAGAATGCTCTGGCTTTGAGGGGTTTTGTTGTTGTTTGTTTACTTACTCATTTTTGTTGGTCATGAAGCTTGAACTCAAGGCCTGGGTGTTGTCCCTGAGCTTTTTTGCTCAAGGATAGGTCTCTACCTCTTTGAGCTACAACACTACTTTGATTTTCTGGTAGTTACTTGGAGACAAGAGTCTCATGCTGGGAGAGTTGGAGGTGCGGGGTGGGGGTGGGGGGCTGGGAATGTAGCTTAGTGGTAGAGTGCTTGCTATAGCTTGCATGAAGCCCTGGATTCTATTCATACACAGAAAAAGCTAGAAATGGTGCTGTGGCTCAAGTGGTATAGTGCTAGCCTTGAGCAAAAGAATGTCAGGGACAGTGCCCAGGTCCAGAGTTAAAGCCCCAGGACTAGCAAAAAAAAGAAAAAAGTCTCACAAGTTTCCTTCCCTGACTGACTTTGAACTGCAATACTCAGATCTCAGCCTCCTAAATAGCTAGAATTATAGGTGTGAGCCACCAGTACCTGGCTTATTTTTGTTTTTGCCTAGTACTGACCTAAAAAGAATAAAACATTAGAGTAGTTTTCCTGTTTAAAAATAATCCTTTTGGGGCTGGGAAGGTGGCTCAATGGTAGAGTGCTTTCTCGTATCCATGAGGCCCTGGATTTGATTTCTTAGTACCATATAAACAGAAAAGACCGGAAGTGTTGCTGTGGCTCAAGTGGTAGAGCACTAGTCTTGAGCTGAAGAGCTGAGGGATGGTGCCCAGGCCCTGAGTTCAGGATCCATGACCAACAAAAAACAACAACAACAAAAACCTTTTGAGATATTTGTGTTTATATTGCTTTTGAATTGGTGGCTCTGCTTTAGTTAATAAAAAAAAAAATTTAAAGTTCACACATAAAATCAGTTTAATTGCTTCCATCTCATTATCATGAGGCTTTAAAAATAAATTGAAAGCTGTATGTGGTGATGTATGCTTATAATCCTAACACTTAGGCAACTGAAGCAAGATGTTCCTGAGTTCCAGGCCAACCTAGGCTACATAGGGAGACCTTGTCTCAAAAATAAAGTAAAATGGAATAAGATTATTAATTCAGCCAATATTAGTGTACCCATTATATGTCAGGCTCAGTTCTGAACACGTAGGATGCTTAAAAAACAAAGACACTTGACTTTGTTCAGCTTATATGTTAGTTCAAATAGAAATATATATCAGTCAGTTGTAATAATGCCTTGTAATATAGTATGTATGTGTGTTTATGTATGTATATGGTGCTTGAACTCTATTACTCTTGAACTCTATCACACTTGAACTTTCACTTGAACCATGCCTTTACCCCATACATTAAATTTTAAAACTACTTTAAATATAAAATTTTATTTTGCTTTCAAAACAAGATTTTGTGTTCTGTTAAACATATATCTAGTATGTTTTCCTGCCACATAATATTGACCCAAGTCAATTGTATCTTTTTTTTCTTTCTTATTTTTTTGGCAGAGAAGAGACAGTTGTAGGGTTTAAACTCAGGGTCTTTGTTTGCTAGGCTGGCACTCTAGCACTTAAGTCCCACCTCAAATCCTGTTATTGTTGAGATAATGCGTCACAATTTTTTCTCCCCAGGATTGCCTCAAACCGTAATCTTCCTATTCTTAGAGCTTATAGGCATAAGCCACTTGTGTCTAGCTTCGGAGTTTTTGTTGTTGTTGTTGTTTTGCTAGTTCTGGCGCTTGAACTGAGGATATGGGCACTGTCCCTTACATTCTTTTGCTCAAGGCTAGCATTCTACCACTTGAGCCACAGTGCCACTTCTGGATTTTTCTGTTTATGTGGTACTGAGGAATCAAACCCAGGGCTTCATGTGAGCTATGCAAGCACTCTACCACTAAGCCACATTCCCAGCTCTCAGGTTTTTTTTTTAATTAAGTTATATACAAATTATAAATCACTACCTTAGTTATACATTCAATAATGTATAAAGTGTATGCTCTTTCACTTATTTTCTACTACATATTACCTGTCACCAGGCAGTTAAATATAAAAATACAAGTAAGATTAATTTAGTGTAAGAAGGAAAAACATTCCTTTGTATGGATTTAATTCAGTCACATTCAGAATTTTAAAATACATGTTTGTGAATACATTTTGGTCAAGTACTGAGGGTTCACACCTGTAGTCCTAGCACTCAAGGTCTCAACCTGGAGGATCTTGGTTTAAAGCCAGATCCCAGGCAGAAAAGTCTGTGAGCCTCCATCTCCAGTAACCCACAAAATACCAGGCTGGAAATATGGCTCAAGTGATAGAGTGCCAGCCTTGAGCAAGAAAGCCAAGTGATAGCAAGAGGCCCTTCAAGTCCTAAAACTTAAAAGGTACATGTTGCTTATTGTCTTCCTTCTATCTAACTCACTTGGGGAAACAGAATATGCATGTGTCATTAAAAAAAAAAGTTGAGGAAGCCAGCTAAAGGTGGTTCATACCTATAATTCTAACTATCTGGCAGGCTGAGGTCTGAGAATTAAGGTGCCAACCTCAGCCTGGGGAGGTAAATACATGAAACTCATCTCCAATTAATCAGCAAAAAGCCAGAACTAGAGGCATGATTCCAATTGGTAGAGCACCAGTCATGAGCAAAAAAGCCAAGTATGAAGCGCTTGAGTTGAAGCTTCAGTATTGGGAGGAGGGAAAAAAGGTTGAGGAATAGTTTTTTCTTCTTCTGTGTATCTTTAAACACAAGATAGGGTTTTACTAGTGATGCTGTCTGGGACTGGAACTTTCTTTGGGGGAATTTTTGAGTACTGATACAATTTGAGCGGTTCACATCAAACAGAATAGCAGTACTAATGTACTACTTACCTGCTAGGCAAGTGGTTTTTTTGAGATAGTGTCTTACTTCCTACTTGGATATAGTTGTGAACCATGAATGCCTATGTTAGGCTTCCCAATGTTGCTGAGATCACAGGCACTTACTACCACATCCACCTTCCCTCTGTGGAGATGGAGTCTAACCGACTTTATTGCCGGGGCTGCCTCAAACTTTGATCCTTCTATTCTCTGACTACCAAGTATCCTGGATTACAAGTATGAGCCACTAGCATCTGGCAAGAATTTCTGGGATAATGAAATGGTTATACAGAATATATATGTATTCAAATGTATGAGATAACTGCAAATTACATGCAAAATGATTTTATTGTATTTTACCTTCCTACCAGTAAAGCAGAATTCTCATAATGTAATCCCTCTATTTGTATTTGTCTTATTTCATTAAAAGTAGTTTTGTTTTCACAGTGGTTCTGTACAGGTTTATACAATAGATAACACCACTGGAGCTATGCTGCTATCTCATAAGTTAGAGCTTACAGCAAAACAATATCCTGGTGAGTATTTTTAAAGCATTTTTAATGTAGTCCTCTCTTTTCTGTATTGTATACAATCTCCCCTTAAGCGAGGATGTCTGAATGCTCAGGCATGCTTTGTCAGATATACACCTATTATATATAAAGTTTTGATTACAAATTAGGCATAGTAGGAGTTACTCTGATTTGGTCATTCATTACACATTGTAAACACATATTGAATTGTTACCCTGTACCCCATAATTCTATGTAATTAAAATAAAAAATTAGATATAATAAAAGAGCAATTATATTATAAAGATAATGTGAATATGGCCTGTCTCTTTTTCTGTCTCTCTCAAAGTTAATTTTTATTTTGTTTTTAAGAGCGTGTAGATTCTTGGCTATGTATACTGCTCTGAGATATTGTGACTTAATATGAGAGTTACCTGTTTTTCTTTTTTTATGTTTTGTCCTGGTGCTTCTTTTGCATCCTTACAAATGTTTACTCTATATGTGTTCTATTGAATATCTTATTCCAGCAATTGAAAACTTGCTGATGGATGGCCTTTCTCTTTGATCCACTTTTTCACCTCTACTCGAAATGTGGCAGTAGCTGCTTTATTGGCAGATACACTGTCACCCATAATACTTTTCAGCTTTTCAGTTCACAATAATTCCCAAATCTGTGTAATCATCTCTTAAATGAGTTAGTTGTTTCAGAGGATTCTTTGTCAGTCTTTTCAGTGCTTTCTGGTGCAACATCTTGCTGTCAATCAACATGTTTTTTATTCATATCTTTCACCCTTTCAATGATACATTTATTTCACACTGTGGCCATAATGTTTACAGCTTAAAGTACAACAGCAAAACTTTTTTTCATAGCAATTTCATACGGAAGATTAATTCTTACCATAGATCTTAGCATACAACTTTCTCTTTTCTCAAGAACTATCACCTTGTCACTTAAAGAAGCATTTTGTAGAAACATTAGAATTTACAGGTATAGGTAGAAACTTTTTGAAAAGAGACTTAGGGGCATAGCAACTAGGAGAGAGATTTGACAAATGGGATTACATCAAAATAAAGTTTTACACAGAAAAGGACATAGTGGCTAAGCTAGAAAGACAGCCAACAGACTGGGAGAAAATTTTTACCAGTAATACATCCAATAAAGTATACACTATAGAAAATGATCTGTATAACTTGTGGGCAGGAATGAGAGGAAGAACTAGGGGAAAGCTGAGGCAAGGGTGACATTGTCCAAAATAAGTATTGTATTCATTATCTGACATGAAATGGTAAACCCCTCTGAACAACATTTTAGTAGTAACAATAAAATTACATTAAAGAAATAAAGTAAATTTTTTAAAAAGTGCTTATGTCAGTTTGCTTCTTCTGTGACTTGGTTCTTTGTTTTCTTGCTCATTTGTTAATGTGTTTTAGGATTTTTGACTGAGAGCTGATTATGTATTTTGAAAAGATATTTGTATGAATGCTTTGGGATCCTGATTGCATTTTACTTCTTCCAGAGAGACTTTATATTTCTGCTGATCACTGGAACTCTTTGTTGTATTTTTTTGGGGAAAAAAAAAGATTTTTTTGGTTTTTTGAACCATCTTCATTACAAACCAAGATGAGGGCTGATTTATGGCTTGGTACTATCAGGAGAACTTTAGTTTCTTTCCATATATAGAAACTTGGAAATGTTGATATTTCTTTCCCTTCCAATAACAGGTTTTTTTTCCCTTTTATACAATGGATATTAGCTCTTCACAGCTGAAGTTTTTATAGACTTCCTGGTTTAGGTTTAAGCTCTTCTTCCTTTTCCATTCATGTGTGAATCATCAGAGGTGATAGTAAAAGTTTGCCATTTGTCAGATCAGTTCAAGAAGAGAGTGCTCTGTCCCAGTGTTTTTGGTTGTTTTGAAGTATTTATTTTCTTGAATAATCAAAACATTCTTTATTCATAGTAGTTTCAGTGTAGAGAATCATTTTGGGTATAATTTGATGCACTACCAAAAACAGGAAATTTTCTCCTTACATTTTTATCAATCATGCAGTGTAAAGTTTATAAAGGCTTTATATGTTTTTCTCTAAGCATAGTGCTTATTCAGTTTTATCTTAATTTTATAAACACTAATTCACATACAACCAAAGAAACAGCTTTCACTTGTAAATCACTTATACACTGTTTTTTTCCTTATTAAATGACAAGATAGTGGTCTTCTTTTAAATAACCTAATGTGAGCAATTCATGCCATTTGAAGCAATCATGCCTTTCTACTCATTTAAATTTGAAGGTATAGATTAAATACTAAAGATTTCGGAAGCAGTCATTTATTATGAATTGTTCTCATTATTTCTTAACAGACATTTGGAACAAAACAGGAGCTGTTAAATTGATCAGATGGTCTCCTGACAATAGTGTTGTGATAGTGACCTGGGAATATGGTGGCCTTTCTCTATGGAGTGTGTTTGGAGCCCAGCTGCTTTGTACACTTGGAGGAGATTTTGCGTAAGTAATGAAGACAAATATAACTTTATTATCTCTCTGACAATACATATATACAGAAATCTTCAGTCATAGAGCTACCCTTTTGCATAATTTTACTCTTAAGCCAAAGTAGTTTGTAAGGTTCAGAAATAATTTTTCCAGACTATATTGGTTCTTCAAATATCTACCCTTTTAACTGACAATTCAATAACAATGTACTTTCCCAGATTGGTAAACAGATTGATTTATATTTATTTATTTATATCGTATATATGACCTTTTATTAAGATTTAAGGCTAACTCAGACATGCTTCTGCCTTTAAGTAGCTAGTTCAATAATAGAGCAATGTACATAAATAACAAGTAGAAATTTAAAAGCTCTATTATAGGTTTCATTTAGATTTACCTGTAGGTTTATATCACTGCCCCATCATATACTACCCTAGATGGCTTCTATAATCTTCCCAAACTATGTGATGCTGTTAAGTACACCAGTACTTTCAATGATAATAACCAGTATTTTTTGTAACTTTGTGCACTGTTATATATTTTTAAGGAGAAAAAATATGTATGTCTAAGGAGAAAAATTAATTGGATTTTTTTAAGTTGAAGCTAAATATTATGTGCTTTGTACATAATTGGAATACTGTCAAATTTTCTATTCTGTTTCAGTTACAGATCTGATGGTACCAAAAAAGATCCCCTTAAGATCAACTCTATGGTAAATATTTTAAAAATTAGCTCTAGGCACTCACAGTAGCTCATGACTGTAATCCTAGCTATTTAGGAGGCCAAGATCTGAGGATCAAGGGTTGAAGCCAGCCTGAGCAGAAAAAACCCTGTGAGGCTCTCATAACCAATTAACCACTCAAAAACCGAAAGTGGTGCTGTGACTCAAAGTGGTAGAGCACTATCTTTGAGCCAAAAAGCTCAGGGCCGGTGTTTAAGCCCCACAACTAACAAAAACAAAAATTGGCACAGACTAAAAAATCCTTACATCTGTCTTTCTTTTCCCTCTGACATTGGTCTAAGGATTTTGGTTCAAAGCCAGTCTGGGCAGGAATATCTGTGAGACAACTACCGGAAACGCCAGAAGTGGAGGTGTGGCTCAAGTGGTAGAGAGCTAGTCTTTAGCAAGTAAACCTCAGAGACAGCACCTGAGCCCTGAGTTCAAGCCTCAGGATGGTAAAAAAAAAAAAAAGCCATTTTAGTTTCAACAGATTCTTCCTTATATAATTCTTACTTTGGTGAGAAGTGTCTTTTTGTATTAGTATATAGTAATTGTACAAAAGAGTTTCACCATAGAATTATACATGAAGATCAGATGAGGCCATTCTGTTGTTCTCCCATTTTCCTGAGTTGTTCCCCACTCCCCACTTTTTTTGTTTTAAGACAATGTTTTGGGATATAACGCCTGTTCGCTTTATAATCCAGATTCACTTGCCTTAGCCTATCAGTAAACCACCATGCCTTGCCTGCAAAGGTGTTGCTTTGTTATGCATTTGGGAGGCTTCCAGAATTTTCAGCATTTAAATATGTTTAGATATGTTCAGTAAGCCTCTTGTCATCTTTGTGGAAACAACTCTTCAGATGAGGTCCTTCTTATTTCAGAGCATACTTCCTTTGTGTGACTCATTGATACACATTCCTCATGGCGTTCTGTCTTTCAACATAAAGTGAAGTAAATTGGACATTATTCCTGGAAGGATATTACTTAAACATATTTTGAAAATTTTTTTTTGTCAGTTGTGGGGCTTGAACTCTAGGGCTTGGGCGCTATTCCTCAGCTCTTCAGCTCAAGGTGAGTGCTCTAATGCTTGAGCCACAGTACACTTCTGGTTTTCTAGTGGTTTTATTGGAGATAAGAGTCTCATGGACTTTCCTGCCGGGGCTGGCTTTGAACCATGATCCTCAGATCTCAGCCTCCTGACTAGCTAGGATTACAGGTGTGAGCCACTGGCGCCTGGTTGAAAATTTTTTATAGATGTACACAAAAGACCTTTATAGTAACTGTTGTTATTTACCTATATTCCAGAGTTTTGAGGCAAAAAATGAAATATAACCTCTACCTTGAAAAAAAAATTCAGGGCTGGGAATGTGGCCTATGGTAGAATGCTTACCTAGCATGCATGAAGCCCTGGGTTCGATTCCTCAGTACCACATAAACAGAAAAAGCTGCAAATGGCACTGTGGCTCAAGTGGTAGAATGCTAGCCTTGAACAAAAGAAGCTCAGGGACAGTGCCTAGGCCCTGAGTTCAAGCCAACAGACTGGCCAAAAAAAAAACCAAAAAACGTTATGTAGCCCAGGTTGACCTCGAACTTCTAATGTTTTTGCCTCAGCTTCCCCAAGTTCTGGGATTACAGTTATGTACCACTGCTCCTGGCTTAGAACCATTATCATTACATAAAACATTTTCTTACTATAGGCCCTTGAGGTTGCCATCCTGATAAAAAGTGACTATGAGGTTTCATCCCTCTTTTCTTTGTTTTACAAAGAAAGACATTTTCTGATACTGGCTTTTGCTAGGAGTTAGAACCACTGTGGGTTACTTTTGGTAACTTGCCTCCATGACTTAAAATTAAGTTTCAGCTTTAGCTGGTGTTTCTGTAACTGATATTTAGTGTTTCTGAATGGCATGTAACAGCCAGTGTTATGAGCCTTTTTCAGCCACAAACTAAAAATTGATTTTGCTTGTGCAAGTTTATCCTTGGGGAATGGTTAAACTTGTTTTAGATTTAAAAAAATTTTAGAGGTCATGAAACCTAATCCATTTCCATTTTCTTGGCTCACAGATTGGAAATTGCTAATCTAAAAAAAAAAAAAAATACTCTCATAGGACCAGGTGTGGTCCTGACATCCCAATTACTTGGGAGGCGAACTTGGGAATCTTAGGGTTAAGTTAGCTTAGGGAAAAAATTAGCAGGACCCACTATCAACAAACAAATCAGCCACGGAGATTCACTTCTGTAATCTCAACTGCAAGAATATCATAGGTAAGGTCTGAAAAGTAACTTAAACAAAAAAAGGATGGGGGGGAGGGGGGAGGCTGGGAAGGAATGTGAAGGGTAAACCAAAGGAGGAGGCTGCAATGCTTGGTAAGAAATGTACGCATTATCCTGCCCATGTAATTGTAACCCCTCTGTACAGTATGTTCACAAATAAAATAAAATTAAATTAAAAAAAAAGAAAAAAAAAAAAAAAGGAGGTGCTAGAGGCATGACTCAAGTAATAAAAATAAGTCCTATCAAGCACAAGGCCCTGAATTTAAACTCTACTGGGGGAAAAAAAGGAATCAGAAAACTATCCAAACTAAATTAACTTGGAGAAATTTATTTGGACCTTTTAATTTTACAGAGGAAGAAACTTATACCTTAAGACACCAGATAGCTTGGTTAAAGTCATATAAGAAGAAGCCACGCTGGAATATAAACTATCTTACATTCTTTGCTCTATTCAAAACCATATCTGTTGTAGGTACTTCTGTGCTAAACTTCTGCTGATAAACCTGGGTTGTTTTCAATAAGAAATTTCTTTGTACTTAAGAGATTGGTAAAGTAAATTGATGGAGAAGTTACAGAAAACAGTTGATGGTTCTGGGGTAGGATTCTGAACTTTAAGCTAAGAATAGTACTTGGCATTTTCATTTTCTAGATAGAGGATATTGATTGGGGGTTTTCTCTGGAGATAGCTAAGATATACTAGAAGAAGTGATTTTTTTCTGCATGGTTTCTCACAGTTTTGTCAACCTTCAGAAGTCAATAATGTCATTGATTAGTTCAGATACTGTTTCTGTTATTAACTAAAAGTAGAAGGGGGTAGTAAGAATATTTTATTGTCTTAACTTCTTTTCTCCCTTCTCCTCCCTCCAAGAGCTGGGGTGCAGAAGGCTATCACCTATGGGTAATCAGCGGATTTACTTCTCAACCCACTGACATTGATGCTGACATCAGGAATATCATTAAACAGCCTAGCATTCTGCTGTTTCAGTTTATCAAGAGTGTACTTACTGTAAACCCTTGTATGGTAGGTGCTCTATTTCTGTAATGTCATTCATGTTAGAACTTCAGACATTTCTTTATGGCTATGGATATTTAATGCCCTCCCCAAATTAGCATGCTGCTTTTATGTATTTTTTTAAAATGTGATGTAAGTATATGCTACAGTATTATTTCTAAACATGCTTTGGGTTCCTTTGATTTTTTTTTTTTAAAAACAAAATAGGGCTGCAAGCAACATTTATGTGTTAAATAGCTTGAATAATTTAGTCTTTATCTGAATGGGATTTCCTAAAGTGTGTTCTATTAAACACTAGTCATAAGAAATATTGGTAGCAGTTCTATAGTATAGGAAAAAAAAAGTTTTGAAGCTGGGAATGGCAGTATGTGCCCATTATCTCAGCACTCAGAAAGCTGAATCAGGAAGATCAGAATTCAATGCCATCCTGAGCTAAAATGTGAGATTTTGAAGAAGAATCTTAAGTCTTTAAATTAAACTGTAGAGATTTGTTTATTCTAAAATCCACAATCTCAGATGTGCTCATGTCTATCATGGAAAGCTAGGAATTAATATAAAAAGCAATGTTTCCCATGCTCACTCAGCCAACAACTTTGAGGAACACCTTGAAGAAGAACTGTGTCTAGGAACCTGCTGTGGGAAACATTGCCCCAAAATAATGCCTGGTGCTTATACAGCTGTAATACTATATGGTAATTACTGTTGTAATATTACTGTTGTAAAGTAATAGTATGATTATGGTAATGTAGGTTGTATGTTAGGGTTACATATCTCAATGCCTATTATCAGTGCCTTTTTGAAAGATGCTGTAATAAGTTAATTATAATTTACAACCTATTGAAAAATAATGTAAAAATAACCTGGATCTGAGATACTATTACTACACTAGAAAATTAAGGATTTCTAGAAAAACAAAAATAGTTTTTTGTTGTTTGTTGTTGTTATTGTTTTCTGGCCTTCTCCATCCCAAATAATAACTTTAACGTGCCCTTGAGTTTTATGTCAGAACAGTATTTGGACTAAAATGGGAAGAGGTAGGTTGCCTCTCTGACTTAAATGTTAATTAAGAATCTCCCTACCTTCTCATTGAAAACCAGGGTATAAAACCTAAAGGCAGGAACTGTCTTATTTGTCTGAATATTCTTACCATCTTACATAGTTCTTGACACTAGCCAGGCATTTACTAAAGGATTGGTCACATTTTCTGTACCCAAACTACATACTTAAATCCTACTTTCTTCTTCCCCCATGCTTTAGAGATCGTCTAGCATTCAACTATCCCTGTTTTTAATCTACTTTCTTTTTGCCATGTGGGTACATGGCATATACACAGACATATCTTTGACACAATGTTTTCTTACCATTGATGTGTGCTTTTTGGGAAACTAATTTTAAATTAGAAACAATAAGTTATAATTCAGTTTTCAGTGTAAGATTTTTTTGTTTTGGATTAATGAAAAGATACTGCTATAACAACTGTAAATCTGAGCATGTTTACAATTATGTATGGTAAAACACTTTAGCAAAAACTATATTTATGCTGAGAAACAATCACTAAGATATAACCTATTCTTTGAAAGAGTGCTGAGATTATCTAGTCTTTGTCTTCTGTGAAGAAAATCAGCATTGATACATGGTCCATTTTCTGTAATAAAACTAAGTCAGCATATTACTTAGTTTCCCTGCCTAAGGTTCTTACTTGTATTTGATTTTTATCCTTTTTCTTTCTTCTTCCTCTTTCCCTGTCTAGAGTAACCAAGAGCAGGTATTGCTTCAGGGAGAGGATCGCTTATACTTGAACTGTGGTGAGGCATCACAAGCCCAGAACCCCAAGAGTTCTTCACACTCCCAGCTGAAGCCCAGCAGAGAAAAGAGCCCATTTACAGATGGAGGTTTTGAGTCTCAGGGTTTAAGCACTTTACTTGGACATCGACATTGGCATGTTGTACAGGTAAGTGTTCACTTACCAATTACTAGTGATCTATTTCTTGGTAAGATATCATTTGGAACAGATTTTTCTAAGTACTTTGCCTGTTCAGGAAACAGAATTTTTAACTATTACATTTCTTTTACACTTTTCTGTGCTTTTATCTTTTTTTCTTTCCATTTGATACAGAATATACTTTAATCAGTATTAAATCCAATAGGATCAGTAAGTAGAAATTTGTTTTGTCCCCTCATTGAAAATTTCAGTTGCCTATTTTGTTTTGTTTTGTTTTATTTTTATTTGTGCCAATCCTGGGGTTTAAACTTGGGGCCTGAGCACTCTTACTGAGTTTTTTTTTTTTCCTCAGAGCTAGTTGCTCAGTTATTCTACCACTTGAGCCACAGCTCCACTTCCAGCTTTTAATGGATATAAGAATCTTACAGACATTTCCTGCCAGGGCTGGCTTCAAACCATGATCCTTAGATCTCAGCCTCCTGAGTAGATAGTGTATCATCACTAGTGCCTAGCTGAGCCTCCTTTTTTGTTTAATCTAGTTCTATGCATTCACAGAGGTAAAAGTGTAACCATTGCATAGGGAGTGGTAATTTTGATTAGTACCTTGTGCAGCTGTCCTCATTAATTGGGTCACATTAATGTTAATCACCTGACAGTGTACCCAAATCATTCTAGAACTTGGTTGTTAATAACTATTTTTTAAAAGAACTCGCAGGGTTTTTTTTGTTTTTTAAGTCCTGAATGATTTGTTTTCCCCTTTGGAACCAAAATATATTAGCTCCTACTCTTGATTTACTTACTTGTGGTCACTTTCTTTTCTTATCTGTGTGTGTGTGTACATGCGCACGAGTGTGTGTTGGTTTTTGTTTGCTTGGCCTAATCTGACCTTGAACTCACTATGTGGTCCACACTGGCCTCAGACTTCTGATTCTCCTTCAGTCTCCCCAAATACTAAGATTATATGTGTGTTCCACCCATCCAATTTCTTTTAGGTCTATTTAGTTTCTATTTTTATAATCCTTTGCCAGCTTCTCTCTGTGCTTATACATCTAGTTTACCTCAGATTATTTTTAGTTGATTTTGGGTAGAGCTAATATGAGACAGAAAAATGGTCATCCAGTAAAGGGTTGAAGGAGAACTATCTCCTGCATTGACATGTGGTAAACAGTAAAATGTATAGCTTACATTAATAAATTCATAGAATCAAAAATGTACATACCATTTTATAATTAGTAACAATTTTTAAATAAAACTGCATCAGCTACTTCCTTGACTAAAATTTTCCACTGCTCCCTTCTCTCCTATAGCCATTTCTCTGCTATTTTCATTTTCCCATACTTTGAACTATTCATTCTACACTGACCTAGCATCAATGCCAGTTCTGCCTAGCCAGGTCTGTGTTACCAGAGAGCCAAGTAGAGCAGAGGATCAAAGAAGGTAGGTCTGGAACTCAAAAATCCATCAGGCAATAACAATATTGAATTTCCTTCCAGTTCAAAAATTCAGTGATTCTTAGCCATTTATGAAGGACTCCAAAACAGTAGCATACAACACTTTTAGGATCCTAGACACGTATTAGCAAGATTCTTCTATGATTCTGTTTATTAAATAGCAAGAGATATTTAGAAAGATGAACTTTTAAAATATGAGTTTGCTTAGGTTTTTCAGTTTCCTTAAAAATAATGCCACAATTATACTCCCAACGCAATTAAATTACTATAGATTCATAGAATTTTTAGAGCTGGAAGGACCTTAGTGGTCATATAGTCCAATTGGATTTTATACATGAGGAAACTGAGGCACAGGAAAGTTTAATGTTACTTGTCTAGTACCACACAAGAGAGTAGTGGCAGACCTAGCTTTACTGTGATCGCTTTAAAGTAACAAGTTTAGTGAATTTTAAAATATAGGTACTAAGTGTTGAAACATATAATATACTACCAACCCTGAGCTAAAACTTAGAATCATCCCATTTGACCATGTTTTTACTTGGAGTTGCCCGTACAGAGTGGTAGTCTCTCAGCGGTGGTCTTTACAGGGATCTATAAAATACAAGCTTTTCAGCCAGCAATGACTTTACAAGAATATAGGTGCCTAGTTTAATTCCCCTTTCAATAACAGAGCCTCTTTTCTAGGATCAAACCACATCCTTCATCAAAGGTGTTTTTTTTATGTTACTTATACTTTGTATGCTTATTGTATAGCTTAAATTTCATCAAATAAGCTTCAGCATACTCTGCTGCTCTTTCTCTTCCTCATCTATAGTGCTGTGTGTTTGTTTGTTTAAACCTTCTATCTTCTAGCTTCTAGATTAGAAGAAGATTCTGTGTCAGTGAGTTTTTTTTTTTAGCTAAAACAAAACATATACACAGTTAACCGGCAGAATAAACAAGATTATTAACTGGCAGTATAAATAACGTCTTTATTTTTATTCTTTTAATTTAGTTTTTCTAATTACAAATTTAGAAAGTAATGGAATACAGTGTGAGATTGTTGTTTTTTTTTTTTAATTTAAAGCCTAGTTTTAGACTGTGTTACTATTTGGACCACCTTTTATTTTAACCTTTTTTCATGTCGTGTAAATTACATTAATATCCAAAAAGTTCATTAATCATTATTGTCTCGCTTTGAAGGTATTGGTTATATAATCTGGTTCTTTTTGAAAAGAATAATCTTCACAAAATGTCAGAGATAAAAACCTACAATGTATCAGGGACTATGTTAGTGGTGTCAACAGTTTGTTGTTGTTTTTTTTAAGGTTATTTCATTCTTCAGGTTCTTTTTTTTTTTTAGTCAGTAATGGGGCTTGGACTCTGGGCCTGGGTGCTGTTTCTGAGCTCTTCAGCTCAAGGCCAGTGCTCTACCACTTGAGCACTTGAGCCACTTGAGCCACAGCACCACTTCCAGTTTTCTGATGTTTTATTGGAGATAAGAGTCTCAGGGACTTTCCTTGCCCAGGCTGGCTTTGAACTGCCATCTTCAGTTCTCAGCCTCCCAAGTAGCTAGGATTATGGCAGGCGTGAGTCACTGGCACCTAGCTTGTCAGTTTTTTTTAATTTGACACAGATAAATCTAAGAAGATAGTTTTCTTACAGACAAGAAGTCAAGTTTCTTTTGCAGAATTACTTTTAAAAGATGGTAGGTTCAATGTAATAGAAACTGGCAAATCCTTTAGTAAGAAGGATGGAGATTCTTTTTGTACCTTTTCTACTGATGTGGCATGACTTATGTGCCCTGAGTGTGCACTTATGAGTTTCTTGTTATTTTTAGCTGCCTGTTTCCTTCTACCATTTTCTCTCTTAAGATTGGGTAGTTAGTTCAAAGTTCAGATGATACATGTACCAATAAAGGTGATACCAAGAAAAATATAAGATTTTTGTTTTGTATTTTATAACATCTTCAGACATAAAACATGAATCTAAACATGAAAAATAACACTGAATGTTAAACCTTACATCTTGAGTTTTGAACATAAATATACCACTTGTAATTTATAATACTTTATAGACTTTGGCAGTTTAATTTTCTCCTGCAGATATTCATTACAGTGTGATCATGTGAAAAGATTTCACTTTGCTTCCCATGCTTCAACTATGTTGAAACCCATTTTTGTAGTGAGCTTCTAGCTCCTACATTATCTGTCCAGCTGTTTTATAAGTACTAATGATGTTAGGATTGCTTTTTAGGTATCACAGATTTGCGGGGTGGTGGCAGTTATATGTAGATATATCTGTTAAATCCTTTATGTGAACTATTGTTATTTTTCTTTTCTCTTTTTTCTGGTGCTATTCTTAGGGTTTGAACTCAGGGTCTGGGCTATCAGGTTTTTGAGTTGTGTTTGTTTGTTGGTGGTGGTGGTTTTGGTTTGGGTTGTTTTTTGCTTTTGCTTTTTTTTTTCTTTTACTCAAGGCTAACATTCTTAACACTTAAGCCACAGTTCTACTCCTGGCTTTTTGGTGATTAATTGGAGATAAAAATCTCACACACTTGGGCTGGGAAGGTGGCTCAGTGGTAGAGTGCTAGCCTTGCATGCATGAGGGCCTAGGTTCGATTCCTCAGCACCACATAAGTAGAAAAAGCTGGAAGTGGCGCTGTGGCTCAAGTGGTAGAGTGCTAGTCTTGAGCTGAAGAGCTTAGGGACAGTGCCCAGGCCCAGAGTTAAGGCCTCACAACCGACAAAAAAAAAAATCTCACAGACTTTATTGCCCAACTGACTGTTAGTTGGAATCCTCAGATCTCAGACTCCTAAGTATCTAGGATTATAGGCATGAACCACCAGTGCTCAGCTATTGTTATATCTTAATTTACAAAAAAAAAATCCACTTATAGCCTAGTAGAGAATTGCTTTTAACTTTCAGTCATTACCATTTTACCTTTATTCTAAACTAATTTTGCCTGTCATGGTGAATTTTATTAATTGGCCTGAAAAGTTTAGCAGGTTTGTTAAAATGTAAGTTACTCATTCTTTAAACATCTATCATGAGACTGTTGTCTCTAATTCTATAGGCTAGGCTTCTTTGAACAAGCTTTGTGAGTAAGAACTTTCTAATGTACTAAAAACTATTAATTTAGTTTGATTTTAACTTACTAGATGTCTGAATTAATTTTATCATGGATAATACAGAGGTTTTTAACATATTATTTTTACTTGATTCTTCACAGACAGTTGGCAAACAACGTAAATGATTTTGTTATGCTTTTGGTTTGGCATTTTTTTTTAATGACCATTTTTCTTGAGTAAAAGTAAAATAAATTTGAATAAATTAAGGCATTTCTAATTCCAGGAATGGAAGATTCTCTTTGTTCTAGTCTGTTAATTTATACTCCATTGCTACCCAGTGCTTAATAAAACTTTTAATAGGCTAATACAGAGATCCGAGTCTATATAGCTAAAATTTGTGAAGTCTAGTACTCTAAGCTTAAAAGTTCTGTTCGTGCAATACAAAGACACCTGTACAAAGATGGAAGAGACATAGGAAAAATCAGACCCACTAGTATTGCAGATTATAGATGAGTAGAGAAGGAAGGAGTAGTTTAAATATATAGCCATATATGTTTATGGATACTTTTTTAAAAAAATAAAAGCATATCAGTGGTTGTTGCTAAGCAACTTAATGTCAGTTTGTACTTCATATGTTTTTATGTTTTAAGTTTTTTTCTGCTTATGTGGTGCTAAGGAATTGAACCCAGGGCCTCATGTATGAAAGGCAAGCACTCTACCATGGAGCCACCTTCCAATCCCCCTATGTTTTAACTTTGTAAGCATTATTTATCAGAAAAATATACAGGTAATAAAGATATTTCTGTTTAAAACCAAAATTGTTTCTAAGGCTATAATTTATTAGATAAGGTTTTCCAGAGATCTCTGCAAACCCAAACTGTTCATTTATATAATTCATAACTGCTATCATGTCTGCTTTTCTAAAAGAAAAAAAAAAGTCTTGCTAGTTTGTGTTTATTTTGTTTAATATTACAAGCATGAAAAAAAGAGGAAGGCCTGATGTGAGATTCGAAGTACTGTCTCATAGATAAATGTAAATTCCAAGCGCTCTTCTAATAAGCCATTAGTTGAGAAAACCCTATAGAAGCCGAGTCTCATATTGTGATAAGTTAATGCTTTAATTTTATAAGTTTAATTTCATAAGTCTTACAAAATTGATGTGTTATTTTCTGTAGATTTCCAGTACCTATCTAGAAAGCAATTGGCCTATACGGGTGAGTTATTTTATTGATGTTGTTGCAGTTCATACTGGGAATTGAGAGACCTTCACTGTGTGTATTGATAAGAGTAAAATATTAAGTCTTTGTATTATCATATTTAATTTTGTATAAAGTATTACTATAAATATTTGTATTTTTAAATTTAGCATTTTGTATTTAATTCACTTTGAAAGTATTTAGTTAATCGTCTATTCATCTTATATTAATAAGCACTTTATACCTAAAAAATGTGCACATTTAACAAGGAAAAGTTATTAATTTTTTTTTATAGTTTTCAGCTATTGATAAACTTGGACAGAACATTGCTGTGGTTGGCAAGTTTGGTTTCGCACATTACTCTTTACTCACCAAAAAATGGAAACTTTTTGGAAACATTACTCAGGTTAGTCTTTTTGAAATAAAATCCAATTTCACAATTATAAGCTAATATGAAGTGACTATAGAGTAAGTCATTGTTTTACTTTAAAGAGAAACACAAATACTGGGAATTGATATTGGATAATATCGATAAGGCATTTTGATAAAGTACTTGATATTTTCACAAAGGATCTTTTGTTGAAATAGGTGGTTTTTAATATTTCTTAAGATGGGTAAAAATTCTTTAGCTTGAAGAGTTAATGTCTTCAAGGTTGTAGGTGACATTTTTTATCAGGTATGATAAAATTTGAAGTCATTCACTGTGATGTGATATGAACGTACATATACATACAAGTAGACTTTTTCTCAAATGAGAGGAAAAGAGAACATATAATAGGTGCCTTGTGTGTACTAGGCACTTGGATGTGCTTTTACATATATCCCTACATTCATCTTCACAACAATGCAGTGAGGATTTGGCCATTCCTTACCATTTGATAAAAAAGAAATTAGAATTCAGTTACTAATCTGATTAACAATAAAGTAAAAATTTAAACCATGATCTTTTGGATAAGAGAATAATAACAGTATCTGGCACTCAGTTGTTTTTTTTTTTTAATCTTTAGTTGTACAAAGGGATTACCATTCAGCATGTCAGTTTATAAGTACAGTAAATGCATCTGGATTGATATCACACCTTTTTACTCTTCCTCTTTCCCCCAACCCTACCTCTTCCTTCAGTTCCATTATTTTGAGTGATGTATTTAGTTACTTACAGAAATACTTGTCTGGGGCTGGGAAGGTGGCTCAGTCGTAGAGTGCTTGCCTTGCATGCATGAGACCCTGGGTTTGATTCCTCAGCACCACATAAGAAAAAAGAAAAAAGCCAGAAGTGGCACTATGGCTCAAGTGGTATGCTGCCTTGAGCTGAAGAGCTGAGGGACAGCACCCAGACCCAGAGTTCAGGCCCCATGACCGAACCCCCCCACCCCCAAAAAAAAGAAAACTCAGAAATACTTGTCATTTTTAATTAAAAAAATTTTTTTTGCTGTTATTCTGGCCCCATACCTGAACTCAGGGATTTGGGTTATTGGTTGGTGTTTTTACCTCCAGTCTGGCATTTTGTTGGTTAATAGAGTCTTAGACTTTCCGACTGGTCTAGCTCTGAAACAGTATTCTCAGATCTAAAGTTACAGGTGTGAGCCACTTTACCCAGCTTAGAAATGTCTAAAAATGGGATATGAAATATTATTAATAAAGCTGTTAGAGTAATCATTTAAGAGAGAGACTAAAGCAGAAAGAAATATGAGCTTTTATGTCTGCTTAAGAATATTTTAAACTACATTCTTATAATTTCTGGTAAGATAATTAAGGTTGTTATGTTTTTTAATTTTCTTTTAAGGAGCAAAATATGATTGTGACTGGTGGCTTAGCATGGTGGAATGATTTTATGGTCCTTGCTTGTTATAACATAAGTGATCGCCAGGAAGAGGTAAGTTTTATTTTCCTCTAAGAAATAATTGCTTAATTGCTTTTTATATTTTAAAGCTAAATAATTTGTTGAAAACTGAACAAAACATTTTATTTATTTATTTAATTTTTTGGGGGGGGAGGGAGTCCGGTCGTGGGGCCTGAACTCTGGGCCTGGGCGCTGTCCCTCAGTTCTTCAACTCAAGGCTAGCGCTCTACTACTTGAGCCACAGCACCACTTCCGGCTTTTTTTTCTTTTTGCTTATGTGGTGCTGAGGAATCGAACCCAGGGTCTCAGGCATGCAAGGCAAGCGCTCTATCACTGAGCCACCTTCCCAGTCCAACATTTTATTTTATTTTTTTTTGTCGGTCGTGGGGTTGAACTCTGGGCCTGGGCGCTGTCCCTCAGCTCTTCAACTCAAGGCGAGTACTCTACCACTTGAGCTACAGCACCACTTCTGGTTTTCTGGTGGTTTATTGGAGATAGGAGTCTCACGGTCTCTCCTGCCCGGCTGGCTTTGAACCGCGATCCTCAGTGAGCCACCAGCGCCCGGTGCAACATTTTATTTTTTAATCAGTTCTTTAGCTTATTTTAGTCATTACTGTTTCTTTTCTTTTTGAATTTTTTTTGTAAAGTAACAATTTGAACTTATTAAATCTTTTCTATCCTAGCACTCTGGAGTTAGAGATTAGCCTTAGCTACATAGTGAGAGCTTGTCTATAAAAACAAAAAAAAAACGGCTAGTCTCATATGAAGTGTAAATATGTTAGTCTAAAAGGAATGTCTCATAGGTTTGTTTGGGGGGGGCAGGCAGGGAGTGTGTGTGTGTGTGTGTGTGTGTGTTTTGTGTTTGTGCACACGTGTGAGTGCGTGTGCACGCATACATGCGTGCATATGTGCATGCTGTCCTGGGGCTTGAACTTAGGGCCTGGAAATTGGGTCCTGAATTGTTTTAAAAGCTCAAGGCTAGTGCTGTACTACTTGAGCTTATAGCCCCACTTTCAGCTTTTTGGTGGTTAATTGGAGATGAGTCTCATGGATTTCCCTTCTTGGGCTGGCTTTGAACCACAATCCTCAGATCTCAGCTTTCTGAGTAGCTAGGATTGTGGCATGAGTCACCAGTGCTTGTACATCTCTTAGTTTTGATAACCATATTTTGCTTATGTGTAAAAATGAACATAGCCTGCCAAAATACAATTACTTGGATGTTAAGGATAAATCTATAGATTAAAAAAATAAATAGCATGACTATAGTATTTAGATATCCCTGGTTAACCATCTTGTTTTTAGGATTGCCATTTTTGTCTTTTTCAGCTCAGAGTATACTTACGAACATCCAATCTGGACAATGCTTTTGCTCATGTCACCAAGGCACAAGCAGAAACATTACTGCTTAGTGTCTTCCGGGACATGGTAATAGTATTTAGAGCAGACTGTTCAATTTGCCTTTACAGTATTGAAAGAAAATCTGATGGGTAAGTTATAGAATATATCACATTTGTACCTATTTATCATATTTCCTTTTTTAAAATTTTCTTAAAACATTTCCTATACCTTTATATTTAGTTTCAATATAAGGAATTTTTTGTTTGTTTTCTATTATCTTTAAAGTAGTTACAATGGAGTTACATTCAGCTAATCAGTTTATAATACAGTACATGGAAATGCATTGAATTTTATGACTATATTCCCCCCTTCCTCTCTTCATATGTCTACCCATAAGGAGTTTTATTAGTATAATTGTATAGTAGCTATGAAAGAAAGAAATAGCCTGCAGTAATATCTGCAGCTTATTTCTCTCTGGGTTCATTTGATGGAGAGGGGAAAGTTATGACTGAATAAACAATTATGTATATTTTTGACATCCTTAAGACTAATTAGTATCCTAGTATTCTAGACACTTGGAGAAATTTGAAGTGGTTCCATAGCTTAAGGCTTTAAGAGACATGTCCTCGGCAGAGTCACGTTTCCACTGCCCTTGATGGCTATAGTCTGGAGCAGGGCAAAGGTCCTACTATATGTGGCCTTATATTCTTCTTGGTACTTAGTCATCTTGGAGCATTTAGAACTATACCTTTTGAGTTTTATTTTGTTTTGCGAGGTGTTTGTTTAATTGTACTGAAGTATGTCTTTGCTGAAGTAGCACAATTATTGGGAAGTATCCTAGAGGTGAAAATTAAAACACATGTCCACCCTAGGTGTTTAAATCTTCATCCTTCCACAACCCCTTAAATATATCTGTTCTTGTAACTTCTTCCCTGGATTTTTTTTTTTTCCTTCGCTCAATGTCATTATTTTGCTTCTTATTCTGATATGTGGTTTTTGGAATTTTCAACATTGCTAATTCATATTGGAGACTATTTAGAGATCAGAGGATAATAGTAAAAGATATTTGGTTATTGCATACTCATGAAATCTATCATGCCTCTATATTAGTAGCACAAAAGAAAAGAAAAAATGCAACCTTGTTAACATTATTATTGACCTATGAGGATTTCTTTTGTTTTTATAGTTCAAATACTACTGCTGGTATTCAGGTTCTTCAGGAGGTCTCCATGTCACGCTACATTCCTCATCCTTTCCTTGTAGTATCTGTCACTCTGACATCAGTGAGTACAGAGAATGGAATCACCTTGAAAATGCCACAACAGGTACCATACCACTATCAGAGCTCTTTGGAATTTACATCTCAGTCTTCAGTGTTTTGAGTTAATATTAGGAACTATTTATTTAACATCTAAATACTATCTAAAAATGTACCTTATATGATGCTATCCTGAGTTTTAGTGGCCAACTAAACAATGGATTCTGTTCAACATTAAGTTATATGAATAATTAATTGTTTTTCTGTATACCAAAAAGTATAGATTATCAAGACCAAATACCACAAACTAGATGTAATTTGAACAGTTAAGTGATTTCTGTACCACTAAATTGCAATATAGAGAAAAAAAAAAGGAGAATTTCAGGCACAGAGCACAGTGAGGCCCACAGACAAGAGGGCACATGACACACAAAAGGAATTAGCAAACGTTTAGAGCAACTAAACACATGGAGTGTGAAAGTGTGAATCTTACATATGATATTAGTAACTTTAGTCTTTGAATTTAAAATTAGAGTGATTAAAGTTGGATATTATTAGAGCTAAGCTTATAATGTTTATTCTATGAGGAGGAAAATAAACTGAAATGGAACAAAACTGCATCAAGGGAGAACAGCTGGGAGGCCATCGTAAGGATTAGTGAATGGTGTTAGGGGAGATGGGAATGAATTTAGAATATCGAAGACTCCATAATTAGTTAAAGTATTATTCCATAGTTTCTGATTGAAGTAATCTAGTGCTACCAGGACCTAATTTCCTATTTTAGGATCCCTTCTATTATATTTGCACTTTTTTTTGGGGGGGGTCCAGTCGTGGGACCTGAACTCTGGGCCTGGGCGCTGTCCCTCAGCTCTTCAGCTCAAGGCTAGCGCTCTACCACTTCAGCTCAAGGCTAGCGCTCCACCACTTGAGCCACAGCGCCACTTCTGGCTTTTTTTCTTTTTGCTTATGTGGTGTTGAGGAATCGAACCCATGGCCTCAGGCATGCAAGGCAAGCGCTCTACCACTGAGCCACCTTCCCAGCCGCTATATTTGCACTTTTTAAACTTCATGTCAACTGAGTCTACTGTCAGTGGAAAATTCTTTGTAGATTATCATCCACGACCATGCTTATTCACCTTTTATTTCTTATTGAGGACCTTCCTTTAAACACTTTATACAGTAATGGAAAATGAACTACTTTATACAGTAGTGTAAAATTGAACTACTTCACTAAAAAGCTTGATTTTAATTGCTTATCCATTCTTTGTTCTTTGAAACAAGAAATAATAAAAGCAAATTTTCCTTCCATGTAATGACCCTAAAATTTTCAGACAGTTGTCATTCCATGACTTTGCCTTCAGTCTCTGACTTTTCATATATATGCTCAAATTTTTCAGCTGCCTAACTATTTGTCCTGTGCTCCCTTTCTTTTGCAGAAACTTAGTTTATTTTTCTGCAAATTTTACCTTGGTAACCAGATAGTCCTAGTTGAGAAAAGGAAGTTGGGTTGGGGTGGGTAGTTTGTTGGGAATATTGGGGATTGAACCACTTGTAAGGCTGGTGCTCTACCACTTGAGGCACATCTTGAGCCCCTTTTTGCTTTATTTTCAAGGTAGGGTCTCTGTACTCAGCCTACCTAGGTTTTAATTCTCTACTTGTATTTTTCTATGTCCCTGGGAATGACAGGCATACACTATATTACACAGCCATTGTGTTGCCTTTGTAGCTCTGCACTCTTGCACAGAGCCATTAAGTGATAGGGAATCTCACAGACTTTTCTGATCAGGCTAGCCTTGAATTTCTGTTCTCTAATCTCACTTCCTAAGGAGCTAGGAATACAGGTTTGAGCCACCACACCTGGCAAAGAAAGTTGGCTTTTATATACCAGTTAAAAGATGTAAGCTGGACACTGGTGACTCACTCCTATAATTGTAGCTTCTCAGGACGTTGAGATCAAAGGATCATAGTTCAAAGCCAGCCAAGGCAGCAAAGCCTGTGAGAATTTTATCTTCAGTTAATCAGCAAAAATCTGGAAGTAGAGGTATGGTTCAAGTGGTAGAGCACCAGCCTTGAATGAAAAATCTAAGGGATAGCAGCCAGGTCCTGAGTTCATGCCCAAGTACCTGCACCACCCCCTCTAAAACAAAAGTAGAAGGAATGTGAAAGATTTTAAAAAGTAACTTTTACAGCCCCAAGAAAGAAATTACTGAGTTAGCAATGATCACTGTTGTATGAAACTTCACTATGAAGAGATCAGATCATGATACCCAACCATTATTAATCATAGAATCAGTAAAAGTGGAAAAACTAGATGTGCTGTTTCCTGGGGTGATATAATATGAAGTTCATGTGAAGAATTATTACCAAAAACATTGAACCTAAATCACATCAGGTGTTTAGAGTCATCTTTCATTCACAGGAATTATAGAGAGGATTACTCTAGGTTATACCACAAGAAAACAGAATGCAGGACTATCTGTAGGAGAGCTGTAAGGGAATAACATGGGCAAAAGGCCATAACAACCAAATCTAATAGGTAAGCTAATTCATGAGGTAAATGTGATAACCACTGTACTATAGAAATAATCTTGTAAGCACTTTTGAGTCATATGTGTATGTGTTCATTTTCCCTCTACCATCTAGCTACATTTTGCTGTGATCTAAGTGCCTTGCCCTTACAGTTGCCATACTTTTGGGGAAAAGGAATGGTACTAGGTTTGGATTTAGGGCCTAGCACTAGCCAACCAGTGCAAGTATACCACTTGATCCATACCCTACTCTTTTTGCATGGGCTGGCCTTATTTATACTTCTCAAAGGTCTTTTGCCATCTAGTATTATTTTCATAATATTTGTAGTCTGACTACATTATTTTCTCTTTCCCAACAGAACATTTCTGTCCTAGCTCATTTTATATTTTATGCATTAACTAGAATATTAACCTTTTCCCTTCCACTCATGTAAGATTTCCTAATCTTCCAAGTCCCACTTCATCCTTTAAATGTCTTCTAGCTATGCAAGCAAGATTGCCAGAATCTATTTTTTAAAGATACTTTATTTTTAATATGAAAATCTTTGCCACCGGTGTATATTTTACATTCGCATCTCCTATTAGATTATTCATATTTCAAGTACTCATTGGTAATATGTGGCTAGTGGCTACAATATGGACATCATGATTTTTTAAAGTGGTTTACAGAGTTACAAGTATAGTGCTTCTTGGTCAGTGTCATCCCTTCCATTGTTCTCCTCCATTTTCACCCTTCCCATTCATACCCTCAGGTTGATCTCTCATTTTTATGAACTTGTGAAGTTCTTTTTGTTTCTTCAGGATAATTTAGTTCTTCTCTCAGGTATATGTTACTGATATTGTTGATTGGTTGTATTATGTTAAGCCTTGTTCCACCATAGCTAGAAAGCCTAGCAGAATGGCTGTATATAGTACAGTCTCAGAATATGTTGCTGTTCAATCTGTATACCTTATGGATTGGGGCTGGGATGTGTGTGCAGAAACCCACAAATTAGCATAAATAATTACTTTGTATGAATTTCAGGCTCGTGATGCAGAGAGCATAATGCTGAATCTTGCAGGACAGCTCATCATGATGCAGAGGGATAGGTCAGGCCCTCAGATTCGGGAGAAGGACAGTAACCCTAACCAAAGGAAACTTGTGAGTAAAGTGCAAGTCGTTTCTTGACATGAAGAATGTATGAGATGGATGAAGGAATAAAAGATTTTTTTTGTCAGTTGTGGGGCTTGAACTCGGGGCCATCCCTGAGCCTCTTTGTGCTCAAGGCTAGCGCTCTACCACTTGACTTAAGCCACAGTGCCACTTCCTGTTTTTGAGTGGTAATTGGAGAAAAGAGTCTCACCAGGGACTTTTCTGCCTGGGCTGGCTTCAAACGCAGTCCTCAGATCTCAGCCTCCTGAGTAGTTAGGATTATAGGTGTGAGCCACTGGTGCCTGGCTAAAATAAAAGATTTTAAGAGGCCAGGTACCAGTGGCTCACACTTGTAATTCTAGCTACTCAGGAAGCTGAAATCTAAGGACTGCAATTCAAAGCCAGCTCAGACAGGAGTTTGTGAAACTGTTTTTTTTTTGTTTTGGTTTTGTTTTTGCCACTTATGGGGCTTGAACTCAGGGCGTGGGCATCATCTCTGAGATTTTTCTACTCAAGGTTAGTTAGTGATCTACCACATCAGTCATATTGCCAGTTCCAGCCTTTTCTGAGTAAGTAGTTTATTGGAGATAAGAGTCTCATGGACTTTGCTGCCTGGGCTGGCTTCAAACCATGATTCTCAGATCTCCGTCTCCTGATTAGCTAGGATTATAGGCATGAACCACTGGTGCCTGGCATTTGTGAGACTTTTACTTCCTATTAATCACCTAAAAGCCAGAAGCGGAGCTGTGGCTCATGTGGCAGAGCACCAACCTTGAACACAAATGCTCGAGGACAGCACCCAGGCCCCAATTTCAAGCCTCAAGACTGGCGTACCCTTGTGCATGTGCATGTGCACACGTGCACACACACAAGTGCACACACACACACATACAAAGATATTAAGAGGAGATTAATGTCTCATGATTTGGAAACAAAATATATACAATTGATTTTAAGACTTGGAGTATAAGACTATTTGTAAAGAATGAAAGACAATACGGTCCCAAAATAATAAGCCTTACATTCAACTTGATTACAAATTCTGGTGAGAAAATAAGGTATTGTTTATGGGATTTTTTAATTTTTAGATTTCAATGGATATACTTTGAAAGGGAGGGTTCTAATATTTTTCTAAATTTAAATAAATGTTCCTACTTTTCCATAAAGAATGTCATGCTATCATGCTGTCATTTTGAAAGACCTAATAAATTAGTATCTGGAACTTAAAAACAATTCTTTTGTTCCTTCTCCAGCTGCCATTCTGTCCTCCTGTTGTACTTGCCCAGTCTGTTGAAAATGTCTGGACAACATGTCGAGCAAATAAACAAAAACGTCATCTTCTAGAGGCCCTCTGGCTGAGCTGTGGCGGTGCAGGGATGAAAGTCTGGCTTCCACTCTTCCCTAGGGATCATCGCAAGCCCCATTCCTTCTTGTCCCAGCGGATCATGCTGCCTTTCCATATCAACATTTACCCCCTGGCAGTTCTCTTTGAAGATGCATTGGTCCTTGGTGCTGTTAATGACACTTTACTCTATGATTCTTTGTACACTCGGAACAGTGCTAGGGAGCATCTGGAGGTGCTCTTCCCTTTCTGTGTTGTGGAGAGAACCTCCCAGATCTACCTCCACCACATTCTACGTCAACTTCTGGTTAGAAACCTTGGGGAGCAAGCCTTGCTTCTGGCTCAGTCCTGTGCTGCATTACCTTACTTTCCTCATGTGCTGGAGCTCATGCTCCATGAAGTGCTAGAAGAAGAAGCTACCTCACGGGAACCTATTCCCGACCCACTACTTCCCACTGTGGCAAAGTTTATCACCGAGTTCCCCCTTTTCCTGCAAACAGTTGTACATTGTGCTAGGAAGACTGAATATGCCCTGTGGAATTACCTTTTTGCAGCTGTTGGAAACCCTAAGGACTTGTTTGAAGAATGTTTAATGGCTCAGGATTTGGACACAGCTGCCTCTTACCTTATTATTTTACAGGTAATGATTCTGTTCTTACAAAAGGACAAGAATAAGCTTTAAATTAGAAAAAAGAGATGTGGTGATTATATTTAAAGAATTAGTCACATTTTCTGTTTAGTTTGTATCTCACACTTGAAAGAACTCAGATCTCAGCCTCTTGAGTAGCTAGGATTACAGGTGTGAGCCACTGGTGCCTGGTTTTGTGAGACTTACCTCCCATTAACCACTAAAAAGCCAGAAGGGGAGCTGTGGCTCAAGTGGTAGAGCACCAGCCTTGAGCACAAATGTTCAGAGACAGCACTCAGGCCCAGAGTTCAAGCCCCAGGACTGGTATGCATGCAAATGACCACAAATTCCTTTGAATACAGTAAAGTATCATTACACAAACATTTTATCCTGGTTTGTCTAAAACAATCTGGTTTTGTTTTTGTTTTTGTTTGCCAGTCCTGGGGCTTAAACTCAGGGCTAGGGCATTGTCTCTGAGCTTTTTTTTGCTCAAGGTTAGCACTGTACCACTAGAGCCACAGTACTGCTTCTGCGTTTTTCTGTGTATGTGGTACTGAGGAATTGAACCCAGGGCATCATGCATGCTAAGCAAGCACTCTACACTCAGCCACATTCCCAGCCCCAGAACAATCTGTTTTAGGCCCAAGACAGATTAATAAATTCATATTACCATTTTAAATAATACTGAATAAGTTTTTATTATACTTAATGTATGTGTAGCATATTACACAAGAAATACTACATTAAATTACTAAAATACATAAGAAACATTAACAGTGAAGAAAATGTTGTTTTGGACATAGGTGCATTTCCCTGAGCTCCCCATAACAATAGATGTATTTCCTTATGGGAATTGCTGAGGCAATTCTGATTAAACTAGAGTAGTAACTCAGCACCTTACATTAGTCTCACAATAGTCAAACTTTCCAGGAACGCTTGGATTCATCACAGAAATGACCCTCATCACATTTTTTTCCAGAATAATAGGAGAATCCTGCAGATTTTATTATATGTTTAGCAACAGGACTTGGCAGCTATTATTCTCCTAAGTCTGAAATGAGCTTTAGAAGCTGCACTTACTAGTTATTTCACATTACTGTAAAATTGCTTTTAACTGATATAAGAAGCTAACTATAAACCTAGTTTGAATCTTAGCCTGAAGCTGGTTTCTAGTCAGCTTCATGACAACTGACTGAAACCAGGGATGCTGAAGCAGGGGCTAATGGCTCTGAGATCCTGTTGTTTCTTGGCTAATCCTAAAGAAGATTTTTTTTTTTTTTTTTTTTTTTTGTCGGTTTTGGAGTTTGAACTCTGGGCCTGGACACTGTCCTCCCTCAGCTCTTCAGCTCAAGGCAAGCACTCTACCACTTGAGCCAAAGCACCACTTCCGGTTTTCTGGTGGTTAATTGGAGATAAGAGTCTCACGGACTTTCCTGCCTGAGCAGGCTTTGAACTGTGATCCTCAGATCTCAGCCTCCTGAGTAGCTAGGATTATAGGAGTGAGCTACCTGTGCCCCGGCTTAGATAAAATTCTTAAAATGGAACAAATACAGCTGCTTTTTGTTCCCATCAGTGATCTCACTATCTTTCCCCAGCAGAATTTCTAAGCAGATAATGATTATGATTAACAGTCTCTAGGTACCTTTTTTTGAAAGCACACACAAGCTCAGTAAGGCTAAATTTATAAAAGTATTCAGGGTCTTGAATGTATAGCTGTACTATTTTGGTATTGCCCAAGAAAAAAAATTAGTCACATCCTCAGAAATTTCTCTGTCATAGGAGACATAATTTTTTTGGAGATAGGAAAACCTAGATTTTTATTCTTGCTTTTCTGCTGATCTTCAACATAACTCCATTTCCTCATCTGTGAAATAAGGATTATACAACTATTTTTGCAGAGTTACTAAAGGAAATGAATGTGTAATATATGTTATTTCTCTGGCATAGAATGAAAGTTCAGTAAATCGTAGTTTCTATTGTGCCAGCAGTTTTTTTTGTTGTTGTGTTGTTTTTTGTTTTTTTCTTTGGTCATGGGGCTTGAAATTGGCCTGGGTGCTGCCCTGAGCTCTTCAGATTAAGGCTAGCACTCTACCACTTGAGCCATGGCACCACTTTCAGTTTCTGGTGGTTAATTGGAGATAAGAGTCTCACAGATTTTTCCAGGCTGGCTTTGAACTACGATCCTCAGATCTCAGCCTCCTGAGTAGCTAGGATTACAGACGTGAGCCACTGGTGCCTGGTTTACTTCACGTTTCCTTTCTTTTTTTTTTTTTTTTTGGTCGGTCATGGGGCTTGAACTCTGGGCCTGAGAGCTATCCCTCAGCTCTTTAGCTCAAGGCTAGTGCTCTACCACTTGAGCTACAGCGCCACTTCCACTTTTCTGGTGGTTTATTGGAGATAAGAGTCTCACAGACTTTCCTGCCCGGGCTGGCTTTGAACCTCGATCCTCAGATCTCAGCCAGCCTCCTGAGTAGCTAGTATTACAGGCGTGAGCCACCTGCGCCCGGCATTTCACTTTTCTTATATGATACTTTCTAATGTTCCTAATGTTCTAATGCTCTTTTTGTTAAACTAATTTGTTCAGTATTGTAGCTACATTCCTTGGGTTTAGGGAAATACGGAGAAAAGAATTGCTCATATCTTCCCAAGTCATGTAGTGGAAAAGAAATGTTCTCTTTCTTCGTTATTATTTTAGAATATGGAAGTCCCAGCAGTAAGTAGGCAGCATGCTACCCTTCTGTTCAACACAGCACTGGAACAAGGCAAGTGGGACTTATGTCGACACATGATTCGATTTCTTAAAGCCATTGGCTCTGGAGACTCCGAGACCCCTCCATCCACACCTACAGCTCAGGTTAGTTGCAAAACTTTGTAGCTTCTTTATGTTATACATCTACGTCTTTGTCTGACTATACTGTACATTGTGTACAATCACAGGAACCAAGTTCAAGTGGTGGATTTGAATTCTTCAGGAATAGAAGCATCAGTTTATCCCAGTCAGCTGAAAATGTTCCTCCTAGTAAATTCAGCTTACAGAAAACACTAAGTATGCCATCTGGTCCTTCAGGAAAAAGGTAAAAGATAAAGGAGTAAAAATCTCTTACTGCTTTTAGGGTATCTGTGATATATTGTATTTTAGGGCATTTATAAAATTAAGTTTTAGGGAAACAGCCATTTAATCCCACTGCAAATCCTTTTTTCATTTCCAAAAGGAAGAGAGACCCTACAAAAGGCTTCCCTTTTTCTCCTTTCTCAAAAGTTCTTTTCTGGATTCTTTGCATACTTTCTATGCCTTTGGGTTTTTTTTATATGTGTGTTTATTTTTATATTTTGGTGATGTTGGGATTTGAACTCAGAGCCTCATGTTTACTAGGCAGGTACTCTACCCCCAACCTTTTTTTCTTCTTCTTCTCCTCATTACTTTTCAAATAGTCTTACTTTTGCCTAGGGCCAGCCTTGTTATCAGACAGTAGCCCTAATCCCCATGCTTCTGAGTAGAAGGATTACAGATTGTGAAATCCATGCCCAGCTAATTTGTTGAGATAGGTCTCACTGACTTTTTGCCTGGGCTGTCCTTGAACCACAGACCTCCTGATTTCCACTCTCCTTAATAGATGGGATTACAGGCATTTGCCAAATGTCCAACCCTTTCATTATCTTTCTGTTAGAGTACAACTTGATGCACCTGTTCGGAATGCAGCTAATTTTAAATTGTTGAGAAAAGACCAGGAAAAGTATCTTCACATAATCCAAAAGCCTTCTTTTTTTTTTTTCTTTTATTGTAAAGCTACTATACAGAGGGTTACAGTTACATGAGTGAGGTTATGAGTACACTTCCTCTTGAACATTGTTACCCCCTCCATTGTTTTCCCCCTACCATCCCCTCCCTCCCTCCCTTCCCCGAGGTTCTTTTTTTTTTTTTTTTTGATTGTGATTAAATGATTACATAATTTCAAAGTCACAAGTTCATTCTAACTTCCCTGGAGCAAATTGTCTACCACAGTCTGTAATATATAACAGTGTTCACATGTTATATACCATATTTGTGATCAGCAGCATGAGGATATTTAGTAGTGGTTCAACCAGATGAGCGGGAGTTCTTTGTTTCTTAAGTCCTGTTAGTTTTGTCGTATCACCTAACATTTTGGATTTAGCATCCACTTATGAGGGAGACCATGTACCGTTTGTCTCTTCGTTCTTGGCTTACCTCGCTCAACATGATTCCTTCTAGCTCCATCCATTTCCCTGCAAATGCCATTATTTTGTCATTTCTAATGGCTGCATAATATTCCATTGTGTATAGATACCACAATTTTTGGATCCATTCATCTGTGGTGGGGCACCTAGGTTGTTTCCATATCCTAGCTATTGCGAACAGTGCTGCAATAAACATGGAGGTGCACGTGTCCTTGTATATTGGTTCCTGTTGTTCAGGGTAGATGCCTAGAAGTGGTATGACTGGGTCGTAAGGGAGGTCAATCTTTAGCTTTCTAAGGACCCTCCAGACTGCTTTCCAAAGTGGTTGTATAAGTGTACATTCCCACCAGCAGTGTAATAGGGTTCCTCTTTCTCCACATCCCCTCCAGCATTTGTCGTTGGCTGATTTGTAGATGTGGGACATTCTGACTGGGGTAAGGTGGTATCTCAGGGTTGTCTTTATTTGCATTTCCTTCACCACCAGGGATGATGAACATTTCCTCATGTGTTTCTTTGCCATTTTTATTTCTTCATTTGAGAAGTCCCTCTTTAGTTCCCTTACCCATTTAGTAATTGGTTTGTTAGGTTTGGGAGGGATTAGTTTCTTGAGTTCCCTGTATATACAGGATGTTAACCCCTTGTCTGATATATTGCTGGTAAATATTTTTTCCCAATTAGTTGGTTGTCTTTCTAGCTTAGTTGCGATAGATTTAGCTGTGCAGAAGCTTTTTATTTTAAGGTAGTCCCATTTGTCGAGTCTCTCTCCAACTTGTTGTGACCCTGGGACTCTGTTCAGGAAGTTCCTTCCTGTGCCTATTAGTTCAAGTGTCTCTCCTACTCTGTCCTGCAGTAGTTTCAGAGATTCAGGTTTAATGTTAAGGTCTTTAATCCATTTTGAGTTGATGTTGGTGCATGGTGATAGGCTGGGGTCCACTTTTAGTTTTCTGCATGTGGCTGCCCAGTTTTCCCAGCACCAGCGGTTGAAGAGGCTGTGTTTCTTCCATTGTATGTCTTTGGCTCCTTTGTCGAATATCAGCTGGCTGTAGGCCTGTGGATTTATATCTGGATCTTCTATTCTGTTCCATTGGTCTTCGGGTCTGTTTTTGTGCCAGTACCATGCTGTCTTTGTGATTATAGCTCTGTAGTAGAGTTTGAAGTTCGGCATGGATAGCCCTCCCATATTGTCTTTATCCCCTAGAATTGTTTTGGCTATTCTAGGTCTTTTGTTGTTCCATATAAATTTTTGGACTGTTTTCTGTATTTCAGTGATGTACGTCATTGGGATTTTAATAGGAATTGCATTGAATTTGTATATTAGTTTTGGAAGTATCACCATCTTTACTATATTAAGTCGGCCTATCCAGGAGCATGGGAGGTCTTTCCATTTCCTAGTGTCTTCTGCAATTTCTTTCTTTAACTTTTTATAGTTCTCATTAAATAGTTCTTTTACATCTTTGGTTAGGTTAATTCCTAAATATTTTATTTTTTGGGAGGTTATTGTGAATGGGGTTGCTCCCTTTATTTCCCTCTCTTCCTGTGCGTTATCAGTGTATAGGAAGGCAACTGATTTTTGTGGGTTTATTTTGTATCCTGCTATTTTGCCGAAGTGACTTATGATTTCTAAAAGTTTGGGGATGGAGTTTTTGGGATCGTGGAGGTATAGTATCATGTCGTCTGCAAAAAGGGATAGTTTCACTTCTTCTTTCCCTATGCGGATCCCTTTAATGTCTTTTTCTTGCCTTATTGCCCTGGCTAAGGGTTCTAGGACTATGTTGAAGAGGAGTGGAGACAGTGGACATCCTTGCCTTGTTCCTGTTTTTAGGAGGATTGGTTGTAGCTTTTCCCCATTAAGTATAATATTGGCTATTGGTCTGTCATAAATGGCTTTTATTGTTTTTAGAAATGTTCCTTCTATTCCTATTTTCTCCAGAGCTTTTAGCATGAATGAATGTTGAATTTTATCAAAGGCCTTTTCTGCATCTGTGGCGATAATCATGTGATTCTTGACCTTGGCTCTGTTGATATGCTGGATTACATTTATTGACTTATGTATGTTAAACCATCCCTGTGTCTCTGGGATGAAGCCTACCTGATCATAGTGTATTATTTTTTTTATGTGTTTCTGGATTCTGTTAGCTAGAATCTTGTTAAGGATCTTTGCATCTGTGTTCATCAAGGAGATTGGCCTGTAATTCTCCTTTTTGGTTGGGTCTTTGCCTGGTTTGGGGATGAGTGTGATATTGGCTTCGTAGAATGAGTTTGGGATAGCTCCCTCCTTCTCTGTTTCTCTGAAGAGCTTGAGGAGTATGGGTATTAGTTCTTCTTTAAAGGTCTTATAGAATTCTGCTGTGAATCCATCTGGTCCTGGGCTTTTTTTTGTTGGAAGACTTTTGATAGCTTCCTGTATCTCATTATAGGATATTGGCTTATTTAATTGGCTAACTTCTTCTTTGCTCAGTTTGGGTAACTTGTATTTCTCTAAAAATGCATCCATTTCCGCCAGATTTTCTTCCTTTAGAGAGTATAGCTTTTGAAAGTAGTCTGTTAGAATTCTTTGGATATCTTGGGTACGTGTTGTGATGTTTCCCGTGGCATCCCTAATCCTATTAATATGGGTTTCCTCTCTTCTTTTTTTAATTAATCTTGCCAACGGGCCATCAATTTTGTTTATTTTTTCAAAGAACCAGCTTTTTGTTTGGTTTATTTTGGTTATGGTTTTCTGATTTTCTAATTGGTTAATCTCTGCTCTCAATTTGGTTATCTGGCTTCGTCTAGTAGCTTTAGGTCCCATTTTTTCTTGTTTTTCTAGCTGTTTTAGTTGCAACATGAGATTATTTACTTGGTCTGTCTCCATTCTCTTGATGTGGGCACTGAGGGCAATAAATTTGCCCCTCAGGACTGCTTTTGCTGTGTCCCACAAGTTTCTTTGTGAGGTGTTTTCATTTTCATTGAGTTGTAGGAAATGCTTTATTTCTTCTCTGATCTCTTCTGTTACCCAGGCCTTGTTAAGGAGTGTGCTGTTCAATTTCCATGTATTAGAGAAATTTCTGCGGTATGCTTTGTTATTGAGAGCTAGCTTGATTCCACTGTGGTCAGATAGGATACAGGGGATTATGTCGATCCCTTTGTATTTGCTTAAGTTCCTTGAATGAACTATGATATGGTCTATTTTGGAGAAAGTTCCATGAGCTGCTGAGAAGAATGTGTACTGTGTTGTTTTAGGGTGAAATACTCGGTAGATGTCAGTTAATTCCGCTTGAAGTATGGCCTCACTTAATTCGGTAGCTTCTTTGCCAATCCTCTGGTTGGTAGACCTGTCCTTTGGTGAGAGTGGCGTGTTAAAGTCTCCTAGTATTATCGTATTGGGGTCTATTTTATTCTGTAAGTTTGAGAGCATTTGTTTAACATATCTGGGTGCACCAATATTTGGGGCATATAAGTTGATGATGGTTATATCCTCCTCTTGGATTGTTCCCTTTATTAATATGTAGTGTCCGTCCTTGTCTTTCTGTACTGATTTTAATGAAAAGTTTATTTTGTCAGATATCAGGATAGCTACACCTGCTTTCTTATTGGGGGAATTTGATTGGTAGATCCTTTTCCACCCCTTCACTCTGAGTTTGTTTGTATGTTTGGCTGAGAGGTGGGTCTCCTGAAGGCAACAGATGGATGGGTCTTGTTTTCTGATCCAGTCCTCAGTTCGTTTTCTTTTAATTGGCGAATTCAGCCCATTTATATTAAGAGAAAGTATAGAGAGATGCATTGTTGTCCCTGCCATTCCGTTTTCCTAAGTTTTTCTTCTTTCCTTTCCTCCTGTGCTTGCTCAGTTAGACTTTGAGTAATGCCTGTTTGGGGCAGGTCCCAGTTCCTGGTTGCTTTCTTCAGGTTGTGTCCCCCCTCTTAGAATTCTTTGTAATGCTGGCTTAATGTTTATGTATTCATTTAGTTTTTCTTTGCTATTAAAAGTTTTCAGTTCTCCATCGAATGTGAATGCTAGCTTTGCCGGGTATATCAGTCTGGGTTGGCAGTTATTGGCTCTCAGGGCTCGTATGGTGCTTTCCCAGGCTTTTCTTGCATTCATTGTTTGTGTGGAGAGATCTGCAGTGATTCTAATTTTTTTCCCGTTGTAGTATAGCTCCTTCTTCATTTTTGCTGCATGCAGGATTGTTTCCTTATTATTCAGATCCATCATTGTTACTATTATGTGCCTAGAAGTGTTTCTCCTGGGATCTTGCTTGTTGGGTGTTCGATAAGCTTTTGTGATGTAGTTAAGATGGTCGTTTTTGAGGTGGGGAAAATTTTCATTGACTATCTTGTTAAATAGGTGTTGCATTCTCTTGCTCTGGAATTCCTCACCTTCGTCCACTCCGATTATGCGAAGGTTAAATTTTTTAGCATTATCTGCTTGCTCTTGAATTTCCCTTTGGTTTAATTTGAGTGATTTTTCCATATCTGTCACTTTTTGGTCCAGTTGGTGTATTCTGTCTTCTGTATCTGACACTCTACCTTCCATTTCATTCACTCTGTTGACCGTGGCTTCTATTGTGGTTTGCATGGTGGAAATGGATCCCTTTATGGATTCAATGTTGGTTCTCAGAGTACTGATCTCACCTCTCAATGAGGTGAGATCAGTATGCATTACCTCTAATTTGGCGTTTATCTCACTTCTTACTGAGGTTTGTGCAGCTTCTATTTTTGCATCCAATTTTTGTTTGATATCCTGTATATCTTTTGATAGTTCATCCTTGTGCTCTTTCAATTTCTGATCCATTTCTCGCTTTATTTCTTGAGTCATTGCCTCCAGCAACCCTTGGATGTAGTTTTTGTCTTCCATTCCTGCTTTGCTCCCACTGGGGCTCTCCCCTGCGTGGCTGCTGGCTTTTGAGGTGAGCTTGCTGTCCTGGGTAGTGGTAAACCTTGTGATTTTTCTCTGTGATTTTCGCATGGGGGTTCAGGAGATTGCTCTTCAATCTTGTTTTGGTGTGTCTGTCTTTGCTTGGTTGCTGATTCTGTATTGGTAGAGAGAGTCTGTGCCTGATCTGGATTCTGTTGGGAGCCTATTTCCAGCTGCTATTCACTTAGGATTCTCAGCTCTCTGCTGTAGCAATTCCCGCCTTTGGAAGGGTTGAGCAGCCTAGACTGCTTGTGTTTGCTCCTGCGGGTGCTCTTGGGAAGATCAGATGCTCTGGATGCACTCTCCCAAATACTGGAGTCTGCTATGGGCTCCTGATGTGTTTTTGTTTGTTTGTTTTGGGCTGGTTGTGGGCTTGAACTCTAGGTTTGGGTGCTGTCCCTCAGCTCTTCAGCTCAGGGCTGGCACCCTACCATTTGAGCCACAGCCCCACTTCTGACCCTTTTTGCTTTGTTCAGGCGCCGGTCCCCTGGCCTGGTTCCGGCCCCAGCCTGGAGCGCGCTCGTTAGGCCTGTGCTAATGTGTATACCACCTTGGTTATGCAGCCTGGAGGACACAGTTCAAATTTCTTCTACTGTTGGTAGTCTTGACCCAGGGGCACTGTTCCTGGCTTGAGCATTTAAGCTCCCTTCCAGGGGCGCTCTTGCTCTGGCCTGGCCAGCAGAGTGTGCTCCACCGGCTGGTGGAGCTCTCGAACAGTTCCCAGTTTTAGTGGGTCCTGTGGTCCGGGTGTTGGGGTAGGGAGTCTAGGTCAGGGTCTGGGGATTCCCTCCAGCTCTGGTCTCCCTTGATGGATTCCCTGTCCCCTGATGGGTACTCACCCTGTAGGTCGTCAGTTGTTGTTGCAGTCCGTCAGTTGTTGTTGCAGTCCGAGTTCAGTTGGGGTGGTTGCGGGCTGGGTTGGGCGGCCCCCCGCCGGGTCGTTGCGATCGCGATTGGGCGGGTGGTCTGCGGACAGGTCCCTTTGTGGCGCTGCTGGTGCCGGGCGGCTTTGGCGGGATGGAGCCTCTCCGCTCCGGTGGAGAGTGATGGGTGGGGTGGGATCCTCCTGGAGACTCCCGGCTGGTAGGTTTCTCTGTTCCTGGCGATCCGCTGTTCTGCAATCCGGTACCTGGTGATCTGCAAGCAGCCCCCTGTGTCTCTGTGGCTCCGGCAGCCCCCGCCGGGCCGGCTGGCCGGCGGCTTGGCGCACTGCCGCGCGGCCAGTAAAGGTTGGGGGAGGGGTCTTCGCTCTTCTCTGTTCTGAAATTCTTCTTTTCCTCTCTTTCTTTTTTTGTTATTTTCCACCTCTGGTTTTTCTCTGAGTGTTCGTCTTTTTGTTGTTGTCGGTCTCTTGGGGAGATTAAAGGTTGGAACTCGAACTCTCTTTTTGGTTGGAGAGAGCTGTGGCGTTTCCCTACTGCCCCGTCGCCATCTTGGTCCCCCCTCTCCCAAAAGCCTTCTTAAAGCCAATAGTTTACCTATCTTTCCAACTGAACTTCTTGACAAAAAAATTAATGTTCATCCATTTGGTTCTCGTGGCCCTTTGATTAGAGAAGTCATTAAACAGTGAGAAAAGGCCTGACAGTGATGGCTTATGGCTGTAATTCTAGCCTACTCAAACAGAGTCTGAGATCTGAGGATTGAAGTGTGAAGCCAGCTCAGGCAGAAAAGTTCAAGAGATATAATCTCTAACCAGCACAAAAAGTTGAAATAGAAGTGTAGCTCAAGTGGTAGAGCACTGGCTGTGAGGGAAAAAGCTGAGTGAACTCATGGGCCCTAGCTTGAGGTCCTGAGTTCAAGCCCAGGTATGGGCAAAAAGAAAAAAGGGGGGAGTTAAAAGCGTCTGTTTATTCTGAAGACTAAAATCTACAGAAACAATGAGTAATGTCTCCAGAAAGGTGGCTGTGAACTCATACCAAACATTAGAAATCATTAGAATTTTCCTTAGTTTGTAAAGTCTTTGTATTTTTGTGCTATAATGTGTTCCTGATTTTTGTTTTTCTCTTTGTCTTTTAATATTGTTCACATTCTTACACATAAAGCTTGCTCAACAATTTTTGTTGTGATTTTACTTCATTCGCTTACCAGTAGCCATTAACATAATCGATGCCCCATCACACACCAAACAATCATTATTATCATTATTATCCTGGACTATGTACAAGTAAAATGCATTCATGGAGGACTATAAACAATTGTAAGGCAGATCACATCTTTTCAACTATACCATGTAATTTAATATTGGCTAATAAACCAAATGTAGCAGGCACTGTTCTAATCATTCACATGTGTGGGCTTGTTAATACATACAACTGTATGGGTGGTGAAAGAGGCTCAAAAAAAAGAACTTGGCTCTGTTCATACAGTGGGTGGCAGAACCAAGATCTGAATCCAGGCAGTATTGCTCCAGATACTGGACTCTTTATTGCTCCACTGTGCTCATAATAAGTTATACTACATTAGCTTAAGAGATGAGACTATATCCAATTGTTACTTTTTAAGTCAGTTTTATTTTCCTATGTCTGTATAATTCATGTTGAGTTTTGATTTTACTTTGTATCTCTCTTAATTTCTTTGATCTCCTTCCCTGTTTTCATTGGTCTTTCCAAATATAGCACTTGTTTACTCCTTCCCTTCAATTCTCATTACCTTATTCTCCCTGATCTAGCTTTTTTTTTTGGGGGGGGGGGGGTCTCTTATTCCTATTCCATGTATTCATTCTACAAATTGGTCTTAAGTGCTATTGTGGTTCAAATGGAGAAGCCCTGAAAAGGAAGTTTATCTCATACCTCCTTTTCAGTTTGATCAGTGCTGCTGCATAAAAGTATGCAGGGTCCTATAGTAAAGATTATTCTGTAGCTTTCTTGTTTCCACTTACAGATGGAGCAAAGACAGCGACTGTGCTGAGAACATGTATATTGACATGATGCTATGGAGGCATGCTCGGCGTCTTTTAGAAGATGTGCGTTTAAAGGATCTTGGCTGTTTTGCAGCACAGCTCGGCTTTGAACTAATTAGTTGGCTCTGCAAGGAACGTACCCGAGCCGCCCGGGTAGACAATTTTGTGATAGCCTTGAAGAGACTCCACAAAGACTTCCTGTGGCCACTTCCCATTATCCCAGCCTCTTCTATCAATTCCCCTTTCAAAAATGGAAAATACCGAACAGGTAATATAATGGAGTTCTTGCCATTTTTACAAGAATTGTATTTTACTCCCAAGTATTTAGAGATGTTATTGGCATTCAAAGAAGTCATTTCATTCCAAACTCAAGCAAATAAAAGCCAACTTCTTGTACATCCATTCAAACATTCACTGTTTGACAAAGACATAGAACTTATTTTTTTTGTCAGTCATGGGGCTTGAACTCTGGGCCTGGGCGCTGTCCCTCAGCTCTTCAGCTGAAGTCTAGCATTCTACCACTTGAGCCACAGCACTACTTCTGGCTTTTTCTGCTGAGGAATCGAACCCAGGGCCTCATGCATGCAGGACAAGCACTCTACCACTAAGCCACCTTCCCAACCCCAAGACATAGAACTTTTAACCTTTAGGTCTGATCATTCATGTATCTAACCATAATTATAAACAAGTTGAGGACAGCGTAAAAGCTAGCATGATTATTTTATTATGTGAAGCTTTCCCTGACAGAATTCATTCCAAAGTAATAAAAAGAAAAGCATCTTAGACAACTTGGACAGGATAAAGCCAAGCTATTTAAATGAAAGAAATTAAGGTATTTTTTCAGTTCTGATCTTTTTATGAAGACTTAATTATGAAAATTGTTGTGGTAAAGCATCAGTCTTGAGTGAAAAAGCTAAGGGACAGTGCCCAGGCCCTGAGTTCAAGCCCCAGTACTGTCACCAAAAAAAAAAAAAGAAAAAAGAAAACTTTTTGTGGCATTTACAAACTTTGTGTTAAGAACCAAAACTAGTCACTGAAAAGATAAGCAGAATAAAGTTCTATCTAGTTCCAGTAGGAGTATGACAAGACCCTTACATGGTGTTGTCAGTTTAGTAACACATTCCTAGAAAGTTTGGATAAATGATTATTAAAGCTGGCAATTGGCTTTGTACTGCTAGTAATGGGTAGGTGGGTGGGGAAAGTAAAAGGACTGGAACAGAAACAGCAGTCAGTGAATGTATCTTGAATTTCACCTATTTTTTTTGTTTTGGAACCTACCCTCCAGTGGGAGAGCAGCTGTTGAAGTCCCAAGCAGCAAACCCTTTTTTAAGCCTTGAAATTGACACTGGTATCTCTAATATCCAACGAAGTCAAAGCTGGTTTAGCAACATTGGCCCTACCCATCATGAGACAGACACAGCTTCATCCCATGGGCCACAGATGCAAGATGCCTTCTTGTCTCCGTTATCTAAAGGTAAATGTCATTTTAATCCTCCCTCCTTAGTTTCTTTGGGGAAAAGTCAATGTGCTTTAGCATTTCAGAGATAGAGTTTCACTTTTCTTGATTATCCTTTGCCACATTTATGGCAGATAAAAGAACCATAGTAGTATCTTCACCCTCAGTTTTGATGATAAGGAAAGACTACCTTAAAGCCCCAGGCAATGAGCAAAAAGTGTTCTCTGCTGTAAAGAATTCCATTCTTATCATAAGAACAGTTCATTTTAGTTTTTGTTTCATCAGTACAATTTTGTAGGAATTTGCTTTTTCTCATATACAAGTTCCTAAATAAATATCCTCAGTTTTTTTCTTCTTGGCTTTTAAAGCCTAAAATACTTACCTGTCTAACCACTTTCAAGAAAAGTATACTGATGTCTGCTCTTTAATAATAGGTAAATTATAGACAAAAGAAGTTTTGGAGCAATTATGCTGATTTTATATTTACACACACATGATATAGTTCTAGGGTGTATATGTGTACATGTGCATATCATACAAGTAATTTATTGGTACAAACAATTTCTTTTTTCTTTGTGGTTTAAATTTTTTTCTGGTATCAAGGCTTGTACTTGTTCAGCTTCCTTTTTTGTGGCTGATGTTTTACCACTTGAGCTATGGTTGGCTTTTTGGTAGTTAATTGGAGCTAAGAGTCTTGTAGACTTTTCTACCACGATTGGCTTTGAACTGAAATCCTCCAGGTCTCAGCCCCCTGAGTAATTAGGACTATATGTATGAGCCATCAGGGTCTTTGTAGGGACTTTGTGTGTGTATGTGTGTGGGTGTGTAGGGTGTGTGGGTGTGCTGTGTGCATATGTGCAGGACCAGGGGCTTGAACTCAGGGCCAAGGTGCTGTCCCTGAGCTTTTTTGCTCAACGTTAGCACTCTACCACTTGAGCCACAGCTAGACTTCCAGCCTTTTTAATAGTTAATTAGAAATAAGAATTTCACAGATTTTCCTGCCTGGGCTAACCTTGAACCTCAATTCTCAGATCTCAGACTGCTGAGTAGCTAGGATTACAGATATGAGCCACTGTTGCCGGCTCTTTGCAGTTTCTTAATTGTTCAACATTCACCCAATGTTCCATTATCTGTATGTTAACACTATTACTTGGTCTTACGCCATGTGAGGAGGCCTATGACTACCATCACTTTTTTTTTTTTGTTGGTCATGGAGCTTGAACTCTGGGCTTGGGCGCTATCCTTAAGCTCTTCAGCTCAAGGCAAGTGCTCTACCACTTGAGCCACAGTGCCCACTTCAGTTTTCTAGTGGTTAATTGGAGATAAGAGAGTCTCATGGACTTTCCTGCCCGGGCTGGCTTTGAACCGTTATCCTCAGATCTCAGCCTTCTGAGTAGCTAGGATTACAGCCGTGAGCCACCAGCGCCCGGCTACCATCACTTTTTAATTATAAAATACACAGGATTATTATGTTTCTCTATCCAAAGTATGTAATAACTATTACTTTCCTGACTTTTTTATTCATTTATCTACTGTTGTTCAAATATGGCTATTTTAACAGTAGATTAAATGTTCTGGTTTCAAAATCCTGAGAAGTCAACATCTGAGAAACAACTAATATTTAAAATTAATGAAAAATTTACTTTGTGTATACAGCCGTTTTTTAACCTCTAGAAATTCTTGATCAGGAGATGAATGCAGCATCGGGTCAGCCACAGACTTAACTGAGAGTAGCTCCATGGTGGATGGGGACTGGACGATGGTGGATGAGAATTTTTCTACACTCAGTTTGACTCAGTCAGAGCTAGAGCATATCTCCATGGAGCTGGCGAGTAAAGGGCCTCACAAATCCCAAGTGCAACTGCGGTGAGTTTCTTAGCTGTTTAAAAGCACAGAAAGCCTACTAAGTGTATTTTTACCTGAGGTACAAGATCTGCTTTCCTGAGATAACGTACCTTTTTGAACATCTCCACATGCCTTTGCACTTACGTTGTGTGTGTGCTTTATATGTAGGTATTTGCTGCACATTTTCATGGAGGCAGGATGTCTGGATTGGTGTATTGTCATTGGCCTGATTCTTCGAGAGTCTTCAATCATCAGTCAGGTTTTGACTATTTCCCAGTCATCAGAGGTGGATGGAGAGATGTTACAGAACATAAAGACAGGGCTGCATGCAGTGGACCGATGGGCCTCCACAGACTGGTAAGTTCTGGTTTTTAGAGGCTTATCTTTTGGTATCCACTTGTCCTTTCACATAAAGGCCTAATTATAATTCATTTGTTTTGGATATGTTTTAGATTTGTGGAAGTAAAAATACTTTCATGCATTCAGTTTTAAGGCTGACTGTCTTTACAAACCATCGAGTACCCACCCATTTGAGTGGTACTCTCTACCTGGCACAGTATGTAGATAAAATATCACTAACTTTAAGATTGTTGCAGTACAAATAATGTTAGAATTAGACTGGAACAAAAGATTTGTGGTTATATGAAATTTCTGCTTACAAAGACAAAAAATGCAGTAGTGCACATTGGGAGGCTGAGACAGGAGGACTGTAAGTTCAAGGTCAACATGGGCTACAATAGAGAGCCTATTCTTCCAAGAGAAAAAAAAGTCATAGTATGTATGAACTTAACATTCCATGGCAGTTACTACCAGGTCCAAATTAAACAGTATTGCAAATTACAGGGCAGAGTAGTTCAAGCCTATAATCCTGACTACTCAGGAGGCTGAGATCTGAGGATCGCTGTTTGAAGCCAGCCCAAGCAGGAAAGTCTGTGAGACTATCTCCAGTTAACTACTAAAAAAAGCCACAACACAAGTGGTGCTATGGCTCACGTGGAGGAGCACTATCCCTGAGCCAAAGAAGCTCAAAGACAGCACCCAGGCCCTAAGTTTTAAGCCCCAGGGGACTGGCACCCCCCAAAAAAATTGCATAGGAATTCAAAGCCTTGGATCCTAATCCTGTCTTTGATACCAGTTATATGGAGAGTTTGGGACTATTATTTCCTTTTTTTAGATCTGATTTTAAAATGCTAGTCCTTGCTCCTACTGCCCAAAACTTTCAACCAGCCATTCAACTTTTTTTTTTTTTGGTCAGTTGTGGGGCTTGAACTCTAGGCCTGGGCACTGTCCCTGAGTTCTTCAGCTCAAGGCGTGTACTCTACCCTTGAACCACAGCACCAATTCCAGTTTTCTGGTGGTTAATTGGAGATAAAAGTCTCATGGACTTTTCCTGCCTGGGCTGGCTTTGAACTGTGATCCTCAGATCACAGCCTCCTGAATAGCTAGGATTATAGGTAAGAACCTCTGACACCCAGCAAGCCAACCAACTTTGCAGTGTAAGGTGACCCAAAAAGCCTTCTTCCCCTCAAAAATCTATCATTTTCTTATTGTATCAGTGTTTAATAGGAGTTTGTAACACCCTAAGAGGTCTTCTAAATTATGGCTGATAAGAACAAATTCTTTTTTCACCCTACCCAGTCCGGGATATAAGCCATTTTTAAACATTATTAAGCCACAACTGCAGAAGCTCAGTGAGATAACAGAAGAACAGGTCCAGCCTGATGCCTTCCAGCCAGCAGCCATGGGTAAGACTTCTGAACAAACCAGCCCCAGGGCAGAGGAAAATAGGGGCTCTTCCTGCCATGGAAGCATCGCCCAAATTGAAGCTGGTGGTAACAGTGTGGTCAGCCGGAAAGAAGAGGACATAACCAGTGGAGATGAAGAGGAACATTTTCAGGATGGGACTTACGACTGTTCTGTGTCCTAACAACAGTGAGTAGCATCATGATAGGCAGTATTAATTAGCACAGTGTATATCTGAGTACACTGTGACCTAGGTGAGTGACTAATGGGAAAGACCTTGGCCTAGAGACTCTTCGGCTAAAGTATTATAAGATTTTAATGAACTCTGTCTAAGAAACCTCTTTGACTTCATAAAAATGTGATATCAAAGCATCTTTCATAATTTTTTAAGCTGCAATAGAAAGTAATAAAGAATATTATACAGATGTACATGAGAATATTTTGGTTTTATTGAAATCTTGGTTAGCTGTTAAATCATAGGGATTGTTTTATTTAACCCAGTTAAGCTTACTTTTTCACTACTTATAGCTTTCTATGTTTTTTGATTCAGTGTGTGTCTAGATGGCTTTTTAAAAACTAAGGTGCTTACTGTAGCTCCTCTAGTACTTGAGCTACCTATTGCTTCCTTGGATAGAGCCCGCTGGACTCCCAAGCTAGTCCATCCTTCCGAATAGATGTCTGCCCTTGCACAGTGTTGCCAGTGGAGTGGAGATATATTTTTGGCTTTACTAGCCTGATAAATCCCAGTCATGAATTGATAGAAGCTATTTACCTGTAAGTTAATATGCCTGCTGTAGCAAGTATGATTGCTACTAGCACAGTGTGGGTAGAGGTGTGAGGGATTCTTAGCAATTATATAGACACCACTGAACTATTTTGAATCAAAGAACTGTATCTTTTTGTGAATACTCTTCTTCTGTAAATATACCCAAAGGAACTATTCATATTTTTAAAGCTTGTATTATAGTTTGTAAGGTTTTATGCTGGGTTCTGCATGACCATAGATACTCACTCTTGGAATTAAGAGGGCTTGCTCTTCCCAAAAATGAGTCTTCAGAAAGGAAGACAAGATTTTTGGCTCGGTTGTAAAGTAACAGAAGTGGACCCACTGATCATGAAGTGGAAGAGGTTTTGTGCAAATTAGTTTCTTATTTATTGCTTTTGTAAACTGAATAAAAGTGGACTTTTATGTAAATAGATTGCCAGATCCTGTATCATCATGGCTACTAAAAATTATGTAAAAATGCATTCTTCACTGTAAACTTTTAAAATATTTTATGTATTTCTAGATAAATTTTAATTTTCATACATTATGAAAACTACATACTTAATTTCTTCTGACTAAACACATATCCACTGTATGTAATTCTAATTACCTAATAGTATTAATTCAGCTTGTTTTTACTGTGCAATTTGAACAAGGAATGCAATGTTATTTTTATAAGAACTTGTTTATTTTTATAAAAGTGTATTTGATGTGGACCAAATTCCTACCACTATGTAAAACAGCCTCTCTTATAGTACAATTATAATTTAGAAATAAAACTTGGTCCTCTATCCTTGCTTTTTAAAGTAAATAGGTAAACTTAATTGTCCTAAACAAACTTCCATTAAAGGGAAACAATCATTTTTAAATTTCTCATTTCAAAATTCATAACTGTTAAAATTACTGAATTTGGTAATTTACTGTTATTTACTTTTTACACTAGAAGTGCAATAATTTCAGATAATAAAACTCCTGAGTGGGTAGAGTATGTGACTTGGTACTTGGTGCTACTTTTAAATCTTTGTTTTAAACCACCCTTTTTGGAATCTTAAGACAGAAAATGTTTCTCATTAGAGTTCATACATTAAAACTAAAAACTGAACTGATTTTTCTTCTGTCCTGTTCCACTAGGAAGAACCAGCATTACTTTTGTATTTAGTCGATTTCTAGTGTGCACAGTGAATAAAAATGATTGATCATTATAAATAGCTTTGATCTTTTGAAGTATTCTAAATAAAGCACTGTGCTGCTGAGTTCATCTCACTCTTTGTTATTGCAATTTGGGGGATCAAACTCAGGGCTTCTCACACACTAGGCAAGCACACAACCAGAATTAGATGTTTTTTTTTTCTTTTGAGACAGAATCTCAAATTGCCTAGGCTGGCCTCAAACTTTAGAATCCTCCTCCATCAGCCTCTCCAGTAGTTGGGGTTAGAGGCGTGGGCCAACCACCCTTATCCCCACCATCTCACACTCTTAAAAGCAGGACACCAGTTAATACTATTTCAGAATAAAAAATGTTCACTTTTTAACTGACAGATATAGGAAGTGCCAAGGCAAGAAATTTGGCAAGTTTACTGAAAATTTCTCTTTGGTAGTTTGTTATTTGCTTCAGTTTTTAAAACGTATTATGGTGTATTGTTTGGTTTGAATACATATCAGCTGCTTAAGCCATAATTTTAACCAATGAATTTAATATAACTATTTGAAAGTTATAGATATGTTTAAATTATTTGCTGATACCAAAACATAAACATCATTTGGAGGTACAATCAACTTCATTTGTAATTAAAGTTGCTGCTGCTTTCTGTAATATGTATTTTTTACTTGGCAAATGGAAATAAAACCATTACACAAACTTTTGTTTATTTATCATCTCAGGTAAACAGCAAAAAGTATATTAAAAGCCACAAAAATTTTATTTTATAATTTTATCTTAAGAGTTTGGGCTAGGAAGGTGGCTCAGTGGTACAGTGCTTGCCTGGCATGCATGAGGCCCTGGGTTCGATTCCTCAGCACCACATAAGCAGAATAACCCAGAAGTGGCCCTGTGACTCAAGTGGTAGAGCACTAGCCTTGAGCTGAAGAGCTGAGGGACAGTGCCCAGGCCCAGAGCTCAGGCCCCATGACTGGTAACAAAAAGAAAAAAATTATTTTATAATTTCATCTTAAGAGTTTGCCTACTGAAATAAGTAGAAATTCCGATCAGTTTACCTTAAATGCTCATAGATAGGAGTTAACAGCATCCAGATACCTGACAAGAGAAAGAGCAGTCTACAGAGCTTGGAAAATGCTCAAAATATAGGAAATAACTTTAATCTGACAGATACCATATGATCACTTAAAAAACTAAGATTAAAATTTTGAGTTTTCCATTTTCCTATATTCCTGAATCTACTGTCTGGGAATTTGCTTAGTCTGACCATTCATAAACAGAGTCACATAATATATGGACTTTCATGTCTGACATCTTTTACTTGGTGCGATGTTTTCAATACTTACCCTTTGTTCCTTTTTTACAGTTGAATAATACTCATTGTATTATTTGACAGTTTGAGGTGCAAGTTTTTTCCACTTTGGGCTATTAGGATTAATACTAATGTTAACATGCATGAAAAAGTTTCCTCTTAGCCAAGGTTTCACTTTCTAAGGATTCAATTACAGTTACTTCAAGTCCAAAAATATTAATTGGAAAATTACAAAAATCTCTATAAAAAGTTTTAACTTATATTTATAGATAAAACTTTTTTAACATCGCTAGTATGTACATATAGCATAAATAGGGTATGATCCATGTTTGAAGAACTCAATAAGAATCTTGGGACATACCTATACCTATCAATAAAGGGACTACAGTGTAGTTTTTTGTGGATACATACTTTCTTTTTCTCTAGAGATCCAACTTGTTGGTCATACAGTAACCAGTAAAATTATTGAGAAAATGCTCATTTCCACAATTAATGTCTAATTTTTCCACTAGCAGTGATGTCCCTCTCTACTAGCAATATTCATCTTTTTTATCAAAGCCATCCATAGTGTATGAAATAGGCATGTCAGTATAATTAATGTTTCAATTTAATGACTAATTACACTTTTTATTATTATCCAGTTGTATATCTTTGCAGGGAAAATTGTATGGTGTTTATTTTTCTTTTTTGGTGGCCTGGTTGTTGTCCCTTAGCTTTTTTGTTCAAGACCAGTGCTCTTGAACCACAGCTTCACTTCCTGTTTTTTGGTGGTTAATTCGAAGTAAGAATCTCATGGACTTTCCTGCCCAGGCTGGCTTCTAACTTTAATCCTCAGATCTGTCTTCTAAGTAGCTAGGATTACAGCATGAGCCACAAGCATCCAGACTCACTTTGCCAGTCCTGGGCTTGAACTCGGGGCCTGGTCACTATCCCTAAACTTTTTTGCTATCACAGCCATAGATCCCCTTCTGGCTTTTTGGTGGCTGATTGGATATGAGTGTCTCATGGACCTTACTGTCTGGCCGACTTCCAACTGTGATCCTCAGATCTCTGCCTCCTGAAGAGCTAGGATTATGAGCTTCAGCCACCAGCACCCAGCTTTTCAGTGTTTTTTGTTTTGTTTTTCCTTTGGGTCCGGTCATGGGGCCTGAACTCTGGGCCTGGGCTCTGTCCCTCAGCTCTTCAGCTCAAGGCTATTGCTCTACCACTTGAGCCACAGCGCCACTTCCGGCTTTTTTTTCTTTTTGCTTAGGTGGTGCTGAGGAATCGAACCCAGGGCCTCATGCATGCAAGGTAAGCGCTCTACCACTGAACCACCTTCCCAGCCCCATCAGTGGTTATTTTTGAAATAGGTTCTTGCCTTATGCTGAGACCAACCTGGACTACAATCTTGTTTGTGCTTCACCTGTACTTTGGAGTTAGGGGAACAAGCATTCCACTATACTTAGCTATTAGTCAACATGGAATCTCACAAACTTCCAACCAAGATCCTAGGCTCAGCTCTGCCCCCCGGTCTCTAGGGGCATTTCATCCATTGTCATTTATACTTTTACTACTGGTTTGCCAGTGATATCTTCTGGATACTAGATCTATATTAGGTATATAAATATTTTCTCATTGTCAATCTTTTCTTGATGGTATCCTTTGAAAAATCCTAGGTTTGTTCTTTTTTATCCTATTTTTCTTTGGTTGCTTGTGCTTTTTGATTTCATAGCTAGGGAAGCAATAATACAAAGTTATAGATCTTTATGCCTATGTTTTCCTCAAATGATTTTATGCTTTAAGCTTTTACATTTATGCTTGTTCTATTTTATTTATGATATGAAGAGGGATCTAGTAGGGATCGATTTTCATATCAGTCGATGTTCGAACATGTGGGCACCATTTATTGGAATGGTTTTTCTGCTTGTCAAAAATCAACTTCCATTATATGAGCTTATTTCTGGGACAATGATTTATTTACATGTTTATCTCCTACCAGTAATATACTCTTGGTGGTTGTTGTGTAGGAAATTTCAAGAAGTGAGCCCATTTTTGTTTTGTTGTACAGCTGTTTGGGTATACTCTTGAAGTTCCGCTTGAGTTATAAGGCCAACTTGTTAATTTCTGCACTTAAAAAAATTTCAGAACTTAAAACCCAGCCAAGTGCCAGTAACTCATGCTTGTAATCATAGCTACTCAGGAGGATGAGATCTGAGGATCTCTGTTCAAAGCCAGCCCAGGGAACAAATTCCATGAATTTCCAATTAACCACAAGAAAACCAGAAATGGCACTGTGCTCAAGTAGTGCTGTGCTCAAGTAGTAGAGTGCTCATCATGATCTGAAAAGCTGAGGGACAGCACCCAGGCCCAGAGTTCAAGCCCCACAACTGACACACACACACACAACACACACACCACCTCGGTGCTGGCGCACACACACTTTTTTTAAGACTGAGCCCAATCTTTACTCATAAACCATGAGGTGAGTGCCAAAAGACCAGACAATTAGGGCTGAAAGCAAGGTTATTCATTTGGACGCAGACGACAGGCAAAGAGAAAGCATCTTTACAAATAATACTCAGGAACCAAATGCAGATTGGGGGAGTATGTTGTACCCACGGAGCCTTGACCCCTCACCTGAAAAAAACTGGCCTCCAATGAGAGTAAGAATCCTCTCTGCACGACTGCATGCTTTGGGCTATGCAAAACTGATGTATGCTTGCCATCCATGTGCTCATTTGGCTAGCGCAGCTGGTAGCGCACACCTGTAATCCCAGTGGCTCTTGGGCTGAGATCTGTGGCTCACAATTCGAAGCCAGCCCAGGTAGAAAAGTTCCTAGAGACTTTTATGACTTAGTGCGCGCGTACACACACACAAGTGAGGATAAGCCGGGTCCCGCCTGTCATCCCAGCTCCTCAGGAGGCTGAGATCTGAGGATTGTGGTTCAAGGCCAGCCCAGACAGGAAAGGCCGTGAGACTTTGCCCTCTCATGAGACACACACACACACACACACACACACACACACACACACACACACACACACACACACACACACACACACACACACACACCTGGGTGCTGGTGCCTTATGCCTGTAATCCACACACACACCCCTGGGTGCTGGTGCCTTATGCCTGTAATCCTAGCTACTCAGGAGGCTAAGATCTGAAGATAGAGGTTCTGAAGCCAGTCTGGGCAAGAAACTCTGTGAAACTCTTATCTCCAATAAACTATTCAGAAAAAGCCAAAGCCAGAAGTGTGCTGTGGCTCAAGTGGTAGAACATATGCCTTGAGCAAAAGAAGCTCAGGGACAGCACCAGCCCAGAGTTCAAGATCACGGCCCAGGACCGGCACACACATACACAGAGCAGACTTTGATAGGAATTGTATTCAATCTGAAAATCAGTTTATAGAGAATACTGTCTTTTAGAATTAAATATTCCAATCCAGGTACGTGCCTTTTCAGCAATATTTTGTAATGTTACTTTTCTTGGGGGCATGAACTTAGAAGCCGCTGCACTGTTCCTGAGCTGTTTTGCTCAAGGCTAGTTCTCTACCACTTGGATGACAGCACTATTTCCGGCATTTTCTGAGTAGATTATTGGTATAGTCTCTCACGGACTTTCTTAGCTGGACTGGCTTCAAAACCTGATCCTCAGATCTCAGCCCCTTGAGTAGCTAGGATTACAGATACGAGCCACCCACGCCAAGTTTGTTATTTCTAAGTATTCTTCTCAATGTTCATGTAAA